CTTCTGAGGCCCGTTTGCACACAAACACCCGGCGGCGTCGCTGAATGCGTACAAGAGAACGGCTGGCTCTAGAGCGCTCTCTTCGCTGGCTTTTGAACAACATTTAAGAGAGCCTGGAGCCAGTTCAAAAGCCAGCACGAAAAAATCGTGTGCAAAAAAATCGTATGGCGTTATTTATCTTATAGCTCTATTGTCTTTGGTAGGGCTCTCTCAATGGTGGTTATCGACGAATGTAGGGCCGTCTCCACTGATTTCACCTTCGTGTAGGCGTGCTGGTTGGTCGACAGTAGTCTCCCTACATCGTTCCTGATGTATAAGTCCAGCAGCTTTTCCAGAGTTTTAAGTAGAAATGAGGTGAGGGCTATCGGTCTGTAATCCTTGGGGCTCACGTGGCCGCACTTTCCTGCTTTCAGCAGGAAGACAATCCGAGAGGTCCTCCATTTTATAGGGATATAGCCCGTGCTCATCCAGCTCTATATATTGCGCAGAGCCATGGGGTGATCACTTCCTGGGTCACCTGCAGCATGGCTGGGAATATTCCATCTAGTCCTGGTGCTTTTATCCTCGCAAAGGAGTTTATAGCCCAGTGGATTCTACTAGAGGATATTAGATCTTTTTTGAGATGCTCTTCTCCAGTTGCTAGGTCCTGGCGCTTATTCGCATCGGGTCCCTCAGTGCATCCTGGGAAATGTGCATGCGTTAGTGCTGTTAGGGCCCCTTCGCTGCCCTCAGTCCACTGTCCGTCGTAGCTTTGGAGCTGACTCTGTATTATTGGCTGCTTCGATAGCAGCTTCCGGAGTCTAGCCGTTTCTGGGGCAGTCTCTATAGTGGAGCAGAAGTTTCTTCATGAGTTTCTCTGCGCCTTGCGTATTCCTTCTTGTCGAGAGAGGCTGTAAATAAAACGAGCGTCTGACGTTGTTGAGTTGATATTTCAAACTAAATTTATTTCTTAAAATCCTAGCTAAGGTAGCTAACATGAGAATGGAAATTACTTATTTCTAGACCCACGGATCGGTATATCTCCGACCGCGGGAAACCTTCTATGGTCTTTATCTTTAACATATGGTGACCACTCGCAGGAGGTCATATAACCCACCAAGCGTTCTAGGTACCTAGCTGAGATAGGTATGCACATTTGCTAGAGTGCCGGACATCTGCATCCCAGACGCAACAATTTGGTGTTGTTTTATTGCTTAAACATAGACAGGCTCTTATCTTTCTGATATTCATATTTGTGTGTTCTTTCTGAACATTCTGCCAAAGGCCGGCAAAACTGACATAAGATTTACATAATTTATTGCTTATGTATAATTGCTTCAACGATTTAGTGGACTGTAATTATTTATCTCATTTAATTTCTTTAATTTCAACTTAAGCCTTTCTCTTTTTGATTAGTTATATTTCCTTTCCAACATTAGATTTTCTTATGTCTTAAATTACCATTCGTTTTATTTTGTGTTTCTTAATAATAAATATAATCGTGTTCTTATAAACACTTCTTGTAGTCCCTTGGTAGGACTTTGTATTCCTCATTGATGATATCATCTTTCGCCTGCTTGGCGACTTTGAAGAATTCTTTGAGTTTGGTGCGTCGGAGTGAAAGGTCCTTATTATACCAGGGTGGCCTGGTCCTCTTTCTCGTGTCCGATATAATGCGTGGTACGCAGCAGAAGTTCTTTGGAGAGGGTCTCTAGGGACTTTTCCATGTCTTCCGCGGATTATACTATGCCCGGAGAGATCGCGAGCCGTGTCGCGATAGTCTCCTTGAACTTTTCCCAGTTAGTATTTCTGGGGTTCCTGAAGACTGCTTGTTTTGGAGAGTGTTTGAATGCGTATTGGAACCGTATGTACTTATAATCTGAGAAGGATGGTCTCTCAAGGACTCTTCATTCTGATACCAACCTACCGATCGTTCCTATGGCAGCTATAAGATATAGTCGGCCGATTTTCATAGAATTTAAACCGAAAATTCTGAAATAATATAAGATGGCATTATCTCAAAAATGATGTAATAATAATGAAAAACAGCCAAGTTATATTTTTTTTTTTCTAAAAATTTATCGAACATTTGTATGGCAGCTATATGATATAGTCGTCCGATCCGGCAGTGAGAGTATATTGAAGACTATATGCAAAGTTTCATTCAGATTGCTTTAAAACTGAGGGACTAGTTTGCATAGAAACCGACAGACGGACGGACGGACATGGCTAGATCGACTTGGCTGTTGATAGTGATCAAGAATATATACATATACTTTATAGGGTCGGAAAGGTCTTCGTGCAAACTTCTGACTGAAATTATAGTACCCTGCAAGGGTATAAAAAATAACGAAGTTATAGTAATTTTCTACAAATTTCCGATTGTTTATATGGCAGCTATATGATAAAATCTTCCTATCCACTTCCTTCCGACTTATATAGAGAATATAGAGAGTCTGAAGACTATCTGAAAAGTATCGTTCAGATAGTTTTAAACCTAAGGCATTAGTTTGCGTAGAAACAGACAGACGGACGGACATGGCTAGATCGACTCGCATATATACTTTATATATTTAAATCTAAAATATATATTTTTTTATACGATTAATTTTTTTTTTTTTAATTTTATCGAAACCAAATTATTATATGCTTTGTTTAAATATACAACTTTTATATATTTCCCTTTATTTTATTTTTATACCCTTGCAGGTATTATAATTTCAGTCAGAAGTTTGCAACGCAGTAAAGGAGGCGTTTCCGACCCTATAAAGTATATATATTATTGATCAGCATCAACAGCCGAGTCGATCTAGCCATGTCCGTCTGTCCGTCCGTCTGTCCGTCCGTCTGACCGTCTGTCCGTTTCTACGCAAACTAGCTGCCATACAAATGTTCGATAAATTATTAGAAAAAAATTGATAACTTGGTTGTTTTTTAACGTTTTTGCACCATTTTTGAGATATGGTCATTTTATATTATTTCAGATTTGGTGTTAATTTCATGAAAATCGGACGAGTCGATCTAGCCATGTCCGTCTGTCCGTCCGTCTGTCCGTCCGTCTGACCGTCTGTCCGTTTCTACGCAAACTAGCTGCCATACAAATGTTCGATAAATTATTAGAAAACAAGAAAGGAAGCTAACTTCGGCACGCCGAAATTTGTATACCCTTGCAGATTGGTTTTGATGTTTATTTTATAGATTTAAATGCTGAAAACACTTACAAAACAGAGTTTCATTACATCTTACCTTTACTTATTATGTTTACAGTTTGACATTTACAGTTTTACATTCCCAGCTTTATATATTTTATACATTTACCGATCGCTTCTATGGCAGCTATAAGATATAGTTGTCCGATTTTTATGAAATTTATACAAAAATTCTAGAATAATAAAAAAAACGTATATCTCAGAGTAAATAAAAATGCGTTAAAAAACAACGCAGCTATAATTTTATTTCTATTAATTTCCCGATCGTTCCTATGGCAGCTATATCATACAGTCGTCCGATTTTCATAAAATTTTTACCAAAATTCTGGAATAATATAAATTGGCTATATCTCTAAAATGATGCAAAAATATTGAAAAACAGCCAAGCTATAATTTTTTTTTCTAAAAATTTATCGAACATTTGTATGGCAGCTATATGATATAGTCGTCCGATCCGGCCCGTTCCGACATATATAGCAGTGAGAGCATATAGAAGACTATATGCAAAGTTTCATTCAGATAGCTTTAAAACTGAGGGACTAGTTTGCGTAGAAACAGACAGACAGACAGACGGACAGACGGACAGACGGACAGACGGACAGACAGACAGACGGACAGACGGACAGACGGACAGACGGACATGGCTAGATCGACTCGGCTGTTGATGCTGATCAAGAATATATATACTTTATAGGGTCGGAAACGTCTCCTTCACTGCGTTGCAAACTTCTGACTGAAATTATAATACCCTGCAAGGGTATAAAAATTGATAACTTGGTTGTTTTTTAACGTTTTTGCACCATTTTTGAGATATGGTCATTTTATATTATTTCAGATTTGGTGTTAATTTCATGAAAATCGGACGACTATATCTTATAGCTGCCATTGGAACGATCGGGAAATTAATAGAAAATAATTATAACTTCGTTGTTTTTCAACCTATTTTTATCTTCTCTGAGATATAAGCTTATTTTATTGGTTCAAAACTTTGGTATAAATTTCATGAAAATCGGACAACTATATCATATAGCTGCCATATAAACCGATCGGCAGATGTAGAGAAAATGTAAAACTGGGAATGTAAAACTCTAACTGTCAAACTCTCAACATAATAAGTATAGGTAAAATTTAATGAAATAATATCTGCAAGGGTATACAAACTTCGGCGTGCCGAAGTTAGCTTCCTTTCTTGTTTTCAATTAATTTGACCAGAATACCTCGATTCTTATTGCAAAGGTATACAAACTTCGGCGTCCCGAAGTTAGCTTCATATCTTGTTTATAATTAGGCAAGATATGTTATAAAACCTTATTATTTACTAAAGAAAGATATTTCTAGGAGAGATTAGGCCCATTACTGATCCATATAACCTTCTTTTTAAATAGATCTTCTAAATAGCTTGCAACGTCGGTATATGCAAATGACCCAGCTTTCACTTGTTATTACTGGGTTCTCATATATCATTGAAAATTTGCATTTATAATAGAAACCATGAAAAATGATATGGTGTGTAAAATAATAAATTTCCTTATAATGTAACGCAGAACCTATTTGGTACCAGGTATCTCATTCGCTCACATTCGATATTAGCTTTCTTATTTGTTTGCATTTAGTGCATTTAATAATTGCTTTATTTGATAACTTCAGTTTATTAAAATGCAATAATAATAAATGATTTCAAGTTTTTGTGCTGTGGCATATACATTATTAATTTAAATTACATAATTATTCTCCAATACATTTTTATCAATTTATATTATCAGCAAAACAAAAAATTAAAATAATTAAGTAAATTAGATCGGGTCTGGGGAACTAGCTGGCGGCTTCAGTGTCTGATAAAGCTTTAAGATGCCTATATTATGTTTGTATTTTTAATAGTGAGTACCACATACATCCAGAAGATTATCTAAAATATCCCCGCTGTTCTGGAGATAATGAAATTGATCATCTATACTGTCCATTAAGGGTCGGAAGTTGGAATAATCATAATTAACTGTTATGTTGCAAGGATGGCTAGGACTAGAAATAATTGTAGTAGATAATATATTATTCTTCTCTCCTTGGATATTGTCTCCTCCGGTAGCTGGCGCAGACTCCAAAATGTTACTGAATATAGAAGAAAAGCCAACTTCTCTGGATATCTGTTGATAAAACACATATGTTATATATCTTTATATATATATTAATATTTTAACCTTACCGTATTGGTTGTGTCTATTTTATCAGAGAACAAGCTATATAGACTCTTTTGTCTGTCGCCAGAGCTTATTTTTATTGTTTCCTTATCATATATTGTGTATAATGAATACTGTTCTTCAGATTGAGCAATATTTGGTATCTGTGGGCTCGATTCTGAGTAATCGTTATCGAAATTAAGCGATATTGCAGATAGTTTAGGCTTAAGAAGATTAGGTTCTATAAGTTTTTGGTATTTTTTCATATTGGGATCCTTAACAGTTTGTTTACATAGTTTCCTGTTACGTATGCGCTTTCTCTCACATTTCTTGGGATCAACACCCAGCTCCCAGTATCCCCCTTTTCCTTTCTTTTCTTCCCGCTTCCTATTGCGAAAGCAGTGGTGAAGTGACAAGTTATGTCTTATTGAGTTCTGTAAATAACAATTATTATATGCTAAATTACATTGCAACTGTAGCAATCGGTAATCACTTACATTCCATTTCTTTCGAACTCGGAAGAAGGCAAACTTTGACTCAATCCAGGAACAAATCTCTTGTAATGTTACACGGCCATTTTTTAACATTGCCATGCCAATAATATGTGAATAATTAAATGGCGGCTTTTCGGTAACATCTGTTTCGTATTTGGTGGCAAACTTTTCATATTCTGTTAAATCACTGTTTAAATGTATAATGATAATTTAAAAAATCGAATTAGGGAAGTCAGATAATATTAATACTGTATTAAGTTTCGATCAACGTTACGCATACGTTAATGTGGATAAGTCAATATTTTGTTTGATACAAATAACTAATATAATTTAAAAAAATATATATAAAGAAAATAAATATCAGTTTTTGGCAATATCGATATTTATTAACTAATAAGGTTATGCTTATTTTTACTACGTTTAAGTCAAGCTTCGTCGAATCGACTACGCCGATTGTAAAACAACTATAATTGTTAATATACAAACAATATTGTAAAAAAAATGTTTGACAGAGTTAATATTATTAACAACTCAAACTAAAATATATTTAACAACCTTTTCTTAATTTTTTAATGGTGCTCTTTCTCTGGCCATATTAGGAAACAAAAACCGCATATTATATTATATATGCTTATATAGTTGCTTTAATTCAATCGCATCTTAATAATAATACTTAAACTTAAAAAAAAATTAATCTTTGACGACGAATTATTTTGTTAAGCAAGAGGCACAACGATTAATTTTGGGTACTTCACAAAAGCTTTTTGGCCATTTTGCACACATATTGTTGGTCATCCCTCAGTTTTAATGCTATCTGAATGAAACTTTGCATATAGTCTTCTAATATGCATAATTTTTGAGATGTGGCCATTTTATAATATTTCAGATTTCGGACAACTATATCATATATCTGCCATAGAAACGATCAAAAGATGTAAAGAAAATGTAAAGCTGGGAATGTAAAACTGTAACTACCAAACTGTAAAACAAAATAAGGTAAAATGTAATGAAACTCTATTTTGTGTGTGTTTTCAGCATTTAAATCTATAATATAAACATCAAAACCAATCTGCAAGGGTATACTAACTTTGGCGTGCCGAAGTTAGCTTCCTTTCTTGTTTAAGTTGTGTTTATAAAATAAGACGGTTGAGCTATTTTAACATTACCAAATATTCAAAAATTGTACTTCCATACAACTTAGAGGCTGTATAGAGCTGAACGAAAAACAAGGACAAATAAACCAAAAATAACGGGAATAATCGATCATATGTGACCATGCGTCGTCGAATCGACGAAGCATGACGATCAAAGATTAAACGAGGCATTGTTCATATTGAACTTTTCCTAGGGATATATGTACATTCCTAGAACTAATTATAATGTGTTAAATCGATTTTATAACATTTTTATAACATTTTAATAATTACTTTTCTTACCGTTTAATTTTGTTGAGAAATATCTCATAGCGTTCAGATGGCGATGGTCGTTTTGATATTGCCTTTTGTGTTGTCTTCGTGTCTAAATCTTTGTGCGATTTAGTGAGCAATAGCTGTTTTGTTTGGTTTTGTTGTAGACGAATATTTGAGTCGTGACTTTCATTTCTGGCTTTAAAAAGTTCTTCAGTATTTGAATCAATAATGGTTTTTGGCCACGTTAAATTTTGGTTCCGGAGAAGCCAATTTAGATTTGTCAGCTCGCGCTCCTCGTCTGATTCGTCCACTTCCTGCAACGGAATATTTACCCTATGGAATGACGACGATGGTGTTGGATGAGAACTACTGCTTTCTTCATTCATTGTCATTTCTGTATAAATATTCCTTTCTACAAATATATATAGAGGAATTGAGAAATTATATTATTGTTCATTTAATCTGGAAGTGTCAGTTTATTAACCCTTCATCATCATTTCTCCTTGTTTTTTTAACTTTGATTTGTTAAAATGGACTCTTTCGTTCTTTGCGTATATGTATGTAGGTATATGTATATCTTTTAAATAATATAAATAAATATATTACTTATACCTTAAACTGATAGTTTTCATTACCAAGGACTCTAATAACTGGTTACAATACACAATGAGGTCTTTTTTAATAAAAAAAAAACACTGCATCTAACCAAAACTTTAAATTATAAATCCTTGAATATTTTGCGATTTTTTTTTTATTTAACGTATACATATGTATCAATGAAACAAAAATCGAATTATTTAAACTACGTCTTATCCAATGTTGAGTAATAGCAGGACAACTGAGTTCTAATTCTTTTTGTTGAAGGTTATGCAACCAGAAAGTTGAAACAAATTAAGGAAAAATTAATATTTTATACTTAATTCAAATTTTTATTAACACTTTTAAATGAGCTCCCGTTTTGTATTAATAAATAGCTTCATGACATTTACAATTACCAAATTTTACGGATTAAAATCATTACTTGTGAAATGTATGTAGTTTCCTGCGTTTCTTTTATTATTATTTTTTTTTTACTAACAAACTTCACCACTTTGATGTTGCTGCACCTGTGCTTTTGGTCGAATTGGTGGAGCAACCCTCTGTTTCCTACTAAAGTGACAAAAACGTTAGTGGCTAACGGCCTTATAGAGAGGGTCGAAAGTAGACTGTGGTCAGAAGGTGAACATAGACCTGCGGTCACTTTATTGAAGTACATTTAATATAATTTCAAATGTACCCCTTAATGGTTGACTTATTTTTTACCCTTATTTTTATTACAAAATTTGCGACAGAATAAAAAGTCTATGAATACATATATATATATCTCGGGTTTGGCCACTAACAACCCTATTTTACTATATACACCTAATTGCCCCTGTGCTGGACATATGGACCTAACACTACAACGGTCACTTGTCATCGGATTCCTCCACCACGAAAATATACAGTCGCGGTCAAAACAATAGCAGGTACTTTTCAATTTATTATTTAAGAACTGATTTATTCTTAAGTTAAAAAAATTAATTGATATAGCCATGTCCGCCTGCCCGGACATTTTCGATTATTTCAGAACTTCGGTTTTAATTTTATCAATTTACGAATCATTCCATTTTCGTAAAATGTGTAACGTGCGGTTGAGGTGTGACGGAAGAAGAAAAGATATTTTTGGTATTCGGGTCCGGAAGAATGACGGGCCGAATCCTCTGGTGCCTTAGCTCTTGGGCGCTTGGGGTGGGTTGTTGCCATTTCCGTTCCACATTCACATAACCTTTAATTTTTAGGATTCCTACTGAAACTATAAACAGGAGCTCAACTCCATGAACTAAACAAAATCAACCAATAACTAAGAGCAAACACATTGAAAAAAACTATAATCGGACTGCTAGCCATAAGCGGTTCGCAAGGTCTTAGGTGATATTTGACTCTTGCTGTCTGTACCCTACCCAACCATGATCTTCAAAGCGAAACAATTATTGAAGATACCCAAAACATTCCTCCGACGAGTTTTAAGTTGCCATGTCAATCCAGAAAATAATTTAAATTAACGCTTCATTTCAATTCTTAATACTTTAATCCATAATCTTTAACAATATATTTCATTTTATAAAGGCAAAAAAAAAAAAACGCAACACTAAATAAAGAAACAGTTCCATTAGTTCTGAATGAATTTAATGAATGATCGGAGTTCTACAGCTCCATCCCACCTAAGCTTACAGTGTAGTCCTTAAATCTACTCAAGTTAATCCTAATTGGAAAATTTTTAATACATAGAAAGTTTTAATTAATTTTGTTTGGTTGAATATAGAATAGAATAAAATAGATATATAGCTAATAATTGTAAAATTCAAGGAATTATTAATTTACTATAACAGAAAGCTTACTCTAGATTTTATAAGTTGGTTTTAATTTATTTATTATTATTTAACTGTAATGATTTTAATTTGTTCTAGCTTTGCATATTGATTGTGATTTTATTTTTATTTATTTATTTAGTTCTTTTATTTATATAGATTTTTTTCTTAGTGTAGACTCATTGTTGTTTACAAAAGGACAGACGGGTATGCGAGAAATGTGGGAGATAAAGGCAGAAAATTTTTAACGACTACATTTGTTTTGTTTTTTATCTAAATTATATCGATAGACAATAAATGGATAGATAATAAATTGAATCTAAAAAATTATCTATAGCATTTTAAATTTGTTTGCCATCATGTTGAATTTTATTTTACTTTAATTTTTTTTTTATTTTAATTTTTTGTCATTGTAGACCAAATTATTAATTTAAATTTAATGGCATAAACTCATTGTTGTTTCGGTTTTTTTCAGTGTATCAAAATAACTATTTATTCATTTATTGTGTCATTATTAAATTGCTAAATTGTAAGTAAATTAATTCACTCAGTATTCTTGAGAAGATAATTTCAACTTAAAGCTAGATATACATATATACATTTTTTTTATTTTAAGGCATTACTCACAAGATTACTCTCTCCATCGTTAAAAGACCTTCCAGCGGGGTTACATGATGATCATAAAGGCTTTAGGGGGCAATAGAACTTTAAAAATTGAACTTAACTTCCCATAGTTATTTTTATTAACCAATAATTTAATTCAATTAAGAATTTATTAATACCAACGAATTTTTATTGAATTTAACTTGGAATTTTAACTCTCCTTTTAGCACTAATTGTAGGTCATTTTTATGTCGCAACACTCTCTTTACCTTTTACGAATTTGAAGAACAACAGTAAATCAAATGCAAAGAAAGCTTATGAAAAACAACAACCAAAATTTACAACAAAACCCTTTGCGTAAGCCTCGTGGTGCGATCGCTGCCTGGCGTTATCAATCCGCTGCTCTGCCTCTGTCGGCGTCGGGTTTAATTTCTCTCGCCGGGATCCAAATGGCCTGCTTTCCTCACTTTAGCTTTATCCAATGTATTCTTCTCCTTTTCCCTTAGTCAGGGGGGTTTACTTCAGCTGCCAAACACAACACTAATATAAAACAAATTTGGTGTTAGAAAAACACATTTACACATATGTATGTACCTTTATGAAAAGGCTGCAAGGTTTATTTGTTTTTGTGCATTCAACGGGCGTTTCTTACCCTTACCAATAAAATTCACACTGCCAATTAAAAAATAAAAATAGTTTCGTGACTTAATAGCGTTTATTTTTCTTAATTAACTAATAAATAAAAGATATTACATTTTGTAAATTAATCCCTTAACTTGATTATACAGATCTCAAGATAATTTTAACGTTTACGATTTGACGCCAGAAAAGTTGCACGGTATCTGAAAAAAATAATAATTTATGAATAAATTTAATGAAATCAATAAAGAAAGCTAACCCCGCTGAAGTTCGTGTAATCTTGCAGTTTGCAAATGGATCAATAAAGATGGATTTATTTCGCACAAATAAAAGCTTTTTCAAAAATTACTTGCATTTTTTTCCAATTTGATCCTAATTTGCAGGGGACATTCAAATCAACATTTACCAATATTGGTTGTCGCATATTTCCTTTTGCGTTTCTTTTGACTATTTGTATTCTCCGGATAAAATATAATTTTATAATAATAATAATTTTAGTCAAAAGTTTGCAACGCAGTGAATGAGTCATTTTCGATATATATATAAAACTAACCCATTAAATCTAAGGATCAGTGCAGAGCATAATTCACTTCAATGACACTCTTACAAAATCTTAACATTTGATTCTTATAACAACTGATTTGTTATAATTTATTTTGGCCCCAAACATGTCCCCTATTTTTTCCCGCGGCAAAAAAACCCATAACTTCTTTCAAAAATCTAGACGCTAAACGGTCTTGGTCTTTTCTAAAAAAGAAAACGTATAACAGCCTAAAGTCAAAATAATAATAATTCATTACGAAATTCTGGAAGAGATCGCTATGCTCTCTCCTCTCTCTTCCTCCCTGTACTTTGCTCTTCAAGTCGGCCGCCGCATAGTTGTGGATATTTATAATTTTTGTTCTTTTAAAAACTTAAAATTCTATAGTTTTATGTTACATTAACCTAACAATAAAATAAAATTAAATTATATTAAAACACACACCAAATAAACTCTGTCAAAGTGGAAGGGGGAGTCATCATCATCCAAGCGATGTCTGCATGTATGCTGAACATATTCTGCAAATTTCAGGACAACGACTTAAGTCGCCTTTGAGAAATCGTGGTTTCGAAAAAAAAGTAAAATAAGTAATCATTGCATTTATTTTTAGTGATGTACCGTTGTAACGACATCAACCATTGGAAAGTCCTTGTAAACACTTATTGTATATGACTTATGAAAGCTATTTATGTAAACAAAAATGTTCGATGAAAATATGTTGCGTATCAGCAAAGTTATAATTTTTTTCTACAAATTTGTCGATCATTTCTATGGCAGGTACATATATGATATAGTCGTACGATATGGTCTTTTCCGATGTATTATACATACATATATAGCAGTGAGAGTATTCAGAAGTAGGAATGTCAAAAATATATCAAAATACCAATTATTTGCGAAAAAATACAATTTTTTTGTTATATTTTTTTTTTAAATAAATATCCGGTATCATAGATTTTTTTTGCAAATTTTTTTGATAATTTTAAGCGATCGGGACAAGAATAAATACATATGTGAAAGATGAGCGCCGCTAAAATATATTTTTCGGCAAGTAAAAATGGATCTGCCAAGTGTAACATTTGTGATAGAAACATAAAAACTAGTAGCAATAGCTCCAACCTGCTATCGCATTTAAAAAAAGAAACACTAAGACTCGTATATTAAACAAAGGAAGTAATGCGTATGTATGTATTTGTGTAGTGCAGCATAGCATTTAGAAAGCAAGAAAACGCGATAAAGAAATGCGCGGGAAATAGCGGCATATGTACATACTATGTACAAAAATATATATTGTTTTCATTCATTTATTAATGAATATAAACTAAAAAGTATACAAATATAATTTAAGATCGTATGTGCGTTAATGTTTAGTGGTTAGTGCTTATGCAGCTTAAAATAAAAAATAATAATAATAATAATAATAAAACAAAAATATCTGATATATAGGTATTTTTTTCTGAGATATCAAATATCATTTTGATTTTTGTTTCAATAAAAAATATCATCGATACGATATTTTTAAATATTTATATAGAAAGCTTAAAAACTGAGGGACTAGTTGGCGTAGAAAAGGACAGACGGAGATGGCTATTTTGACCTATACATTATAGGGTCGGAAATTTCTTCTCCACTGCGTTGCAAACTTCTGACTAAAATTATAATACCCTGCAAGGGTATAATAAAGAACTATATGATGCACTACACTCACTACATTTACCTATGTATCATTTCATATTTAATTTTTGCTATTTTCTTTTCTATAGCGGCTATTAAAATAAGTAGTCCGATCAGGCTTGCTCCGAGTAAAAAACCACCTTCAATCAAAATAAGTCTATCAGAAAATCTTTAATAGATAGCACACAACCTTAGAGACGGTCAGCATACATGGCAAGACCGTCTCGGCTATTGATGCTTTTCATCCATAAATGTCTCCTTCACTGAGTTCCAAATTTCTAACTACAAATGTAATACCCTGTAGGTGTATATATAGAATGTTACCTGATCAGGTTTATAAAGATGTGTATGAGGCAACAAAAACGTTGAACCCAAATCACGTTCAGTCATCGTATTTGAATCCTAAAAATATAATTAGTTCGAGAACAGTCAATCTATCTGTGTATTCCCTTGACGACTGAATGACTTACTTACTGAAAACATCGGCGATGAATAGCGATAGGTAGCCGTTATATTCAACTGAAAACAGCTGTTCGCATACAAACTGCTGAAATTATCAGCTAACTATCACGATACCTTGCCGATATTTTCAATAATTCAGTCGTCAAGAGAATACCCTGTATGAAAGTAACATTAGGTTAAGGGGTTTTCCTAATTTTATTTATTTTATTCCAATGTCCAATATCTTTAGAATATTTTGTCAAATAAAACAAAACTTTTGTCATAGATAAATTACGGGTACTAAGACAAGGAAAATGTTCCGAGCGAAAAACGTAAAGCGTAAAGCCGGATCTAAAAACTATGCTATGATTTTGATCTCAAAATAACTCAATCGAATTATTTTTAAAGGACGGAAAATTGAAGAAGGATAATATTTCTGGGAAGAAAAATGGTCGTCCCGCGAAGCCAAAGTGACTGATAAATTCAGTAAAGGCGAAGTCCTTAAAATGGAATCTAACCCACAAAGGGCGTTTTTTCATGAATTTTTTTATTAACAATGCCTGGGAGGCTAATTCAGTGGCACTGGGCGCGACGTAGTTAACGACTTTGGTTGGGCTTCAGCTTCACAGTGGGGTAATACATCAATAATATTCAAAAATTTAATCCGTTTGAATTTGGATTTGGATTTCACTTTATATGGTTTTTTTTTACTAAAAACGGATGGAAATACGTGTCATTGTGACCCTTTTTATGCCTTTTCTTTTATTTTACATTGGGTCGAGCAGAATTTAAGGCAATTCCGCTAGAATTATTTTTACCGGGGATTTATCTGATCTACTACCGGCATTAAGCTTATTTTAGCCGTTTGGCCGCCACAATTTTTTGATAAGTGACATGTTTTAAGCCGAATTAACCTTATTCCCTTCTAAATACATCTAATTAAATAAAATGGGTTTTACATTGATTTCCGTGGTGTCTTTGAATCCGACGTCTTCTGACCTAAATATAAAAAATATTAAATATTAAATTAATATTCAAAAATTTACTTTACAATAATTCGAGATCATTCTGATACATTCTTACACTGTGTTTTTATACCCTTGCAGGGTATTATAATTTCAGTCAGAAGTTTGCAACGCAGTGAAGGAGACGTTTCCGACCCTATAAAGTATATATATTCTTGATCAGCATCAACAGCCGAGTCGATCTAGCCATGTCCGTCTGTCCGTCTGTCCGTCCGTCTGTCCGTCTGTCCGTTTCTACGCAAACTAGTCCCTCAGTTTTAAAGCTATCTGAATGAAACTTTGCATATAGTCTTCTATATGCTTCACTGCTATATATGTCGGAACGGGCCGGATCGGACGACTATATCATATAGCTGTCATACAAATGTTCGATATATTTGTAGAAAAAATATTATAACTTTGCTGTTTTTCAACATTTTTGCACCATTTTTTAGATATGGCCATTTTATATTATTTCAGAATTTTGGTAAAAATTTTATGAAAATCGGACGACTATATGATATAGCTGCCATAGGAACGGTCGAGAAATAAATAGGAAAAAAAAAATTATAGTTTCATTGTTTTTCAACGTATGGTTATCTACTCTGAGATATAAGCTTTTTTTATTATTCTAGAATTATGGTATAAATTTTATAAAAATCGGACAACTATATCATATAGCTGCCATAGAAGCGATCGGTAAATGTATAAAATATGTAAAGCTGGGAATGTAAAACTGTAACTGTCAAACTGTAAACATAATAAGTATAGGTAAAATGAAATGAAACTCTGTTTTGTGAGTGTTTTCAGCATTTAAATCTATAATATAAACCTCAAAACCAATCTGCAAGGGTATACAAACTTCGGCGTGCCGAAGTTAGCTTCCTTTCTTGTTCTTACTTACTTTATACTTACATTAGAATTTTAGAGGAATTTTGCGACTTAAACCCAGGCACAAGGTGTGTTCCTACATCAAAAGATCTTTTTGAATAATTCCCTTGATTTCGGCCTGGATTCGATCTTAGATCATGAATATGTATTTCACTTTTCCATGTTATATCTGGCAATGATCTATTAGTATCTTGGTTGTTTTTTAAACGATGATGATGATGAGAAGAGATATACGGCCAGCAATATTTAGCACGTGGAATCATGAGATCAATAGATCGTTCAGTTTGATAGGATTTGTCATGATTATCAACTGCCTTTCTAACATTTAAAATATTGTACATATTAGGTATCGAAATGGCCTTTACTCCATGGCATTTCTGTTAATAAATAGAATGTAAAATATTATTTTAATGATTAAGTTTTTAGTTTCCCCAAAATTACCTTTACCTTTAGAGAGGGGTAGGACTCCTGACTGGATTGACTTGTAGTTTCATTTCTATAACTTTCTGATGTTGTTATCATACTAGAATGTAATGTGTTGGCTTTATTAAATGCTTTGTCTCTTTTCCTACTAGTGTTTATTAGTAAAAAATAAAATAGTAGAAATATAGCCAATATTGTACTGCTAATAATTATACAAATTGCTATAATCTTAAGATTAATTTGGCACTTCGTTCCAGCATACCAGGAATGACACTTGCATTTCACATTCTTTCTCTCTGTAATAACACACTTTCCATTATAATGGCAATTACCGCATCCAATGGTATTGTCTGAGCAAATTCGTCCAGGATATTGAGCATTATCTGATATATCTATATGACCATTCTTGCAACTGCAGGTATAGCTACCAATTAAGTTAAAACAATAGGCATTCAGGGAACAGTCATTAAAGTTTTCCGAAATGCATTCATCGAAATCTAAAAAAGAAGTATATATATATATGCACAAGTTCTGTAGTAATACAATTATATTTGTATAATAACAATAATATAAATATAAAATATATAATACATAGAAAAATAACAATAATATAAATATATAATATATAGGAAAATAGTTTATACCTTTAATAACTAATAAATCCAGTCCATTCTTTGAGGAATACAATCCAGTATTTCCTATACTAAAGTTACTTTGTCGTAAGTATTTTTGAAAAACAGATTTCAGTTGATTTTCATTACTGTTTTCTGAGAGCTAAATATAAATATATTAGAACAGAAAAAAAACATTTTTTGTATTGTATAATTTAATAAATTGAAGTTTTAAATAAAAACAAGAAAACAAGCTAGCCTCGGCACGCCGAAGTTTGTATACCCTTGCAGCTTGCAATTTGATCATTAAGAATCGATTTCTTTTGTCAAATCAACCACTATAACCTTACCTTACCCTTCCTTGCTTTTCAATCAAACGACAAGTTGGACAATGGCTAGTTGTCTTTCTCTCCCTCTTATGCCAATTCATTGTAGCGCCTGTTTCAAATACTGTGGTCAAAGTCGACATTAGAGAGGACCTATGAACCATCTCCGACATATACCATATTACCATTTGTTATATAAATATAGTTATAGTTAGAAATATATTTACAGTTTTAGTTTTAAATTGACAGCTTTACATTTTTCAGTACATCTATTGATCATTCCTAGTATGACAAGCTTGGTTTTCAGCGATTCGAAAAAAAGTTTCAGCAGCCCAGAGGTTGCAGAATCGTTGCAGAATCGTTGAAACTTCAGAAAGTTGAAATTGTATGAAACAGCTGTTCAACAGATAGCAAACAGCTGACAAATTATCAACGATTCAGAGATTCAACAGTTAAGGGAATCCCCTAATTGTGCAGAAAAACAATTTTATTATTTAACAAAAAAAATCAAGTATATCGATATTTTGCAGTGATATTTTAAATATTATCATCATATTTTTTTATAAAAAAAATCATCGATACGATATTTATTTAAATATTCGACAACCCTAGTGAGAGTATGTAAAAACTGATAGACCGACAGTTTGCTGTTGTTGATGATCATGAATATATATATTTACTTCATTGGGTCGGAAATGTCTCCTTCACTGCATTGCAAAATTCGGACAAAAAATCCCTGCAAGGATATATAAATTATCAAATTAAATACATTAAAATTTAAGCTAGTGATCCGATATATTAAACAGAATATTGATTTTTCTTATAAAATGTCGATAAATTATAGCTCGCTCGCTCACCTGCAATATAAATTGAACAATAAAAGAATCATTATGTTTCGTAGAAATAACCGCTTTTAATTGAACATTATGATAAATATCGCGAAGGTCCGATTGCATAAGCATACGATCAGCGGCCTCCAATAATATTTTATCACTTTTGAATACATCGATCTGCCCCAAATATTGATTTTCCTCGAAATTTGCTTGAATCTGCATTTCATAGGTATAGGTAGCTTTAATAAATAATATTATATTTATATATATATATATGTATATTTATTTTACAACTTAGTACTTACGCTTACAGGGTCGATCCGGAAACATTCGCCCAAAACTTGGACGACACACACACTGGGTTTCCTCCAATTTACTGTCATTATTCATTATTGATACACATATTTCATTCTTTTTCGATTTACATGGTGGTCGACAATTATTATCGGGACTTGTTTTTAAATAATTATCAGCTTTTGGCGGGTAATTAATAACAAAAGCTTCAGAGTTGGCATTAGTAATTGTGAATTTGTTGAAATCGTTTTTATCCGCATTTTTTCTTTCCATATTTTCTATTATGTCATTTATAGTTGTTTTTTCTTTATTGATATCAGACTTCTGTGGTGTGTTGTCTAAAGATATTATTTCACTATATTTTGAGGTAACAGTTTTGAATAAAAATATATTTTTTAATGGATCGTCTGTTTCTGATGAATTTGAGATTTTATATCTTAAAATTGGCATAGAAGAATTTGATTTTATATTTTTACTATTATTGCTTTTAATTTGATTCTTCTTATCATTATTATGATTATGATGATGATGATGATGATTATTATTATTATTATTATTATTATTATTATTATTATTATTATTATTATTATTATTATTATTATTATTATTATTATTATTATTATTATTATTATTATTATTATTATTATTATTATTATTATTATTATTATTATTATTATTATTATTATTATTATTATTATTATTATTATTATTATTATTATTATTATTATTATTATTATTATTATTATTATTATTATTATTATTAATATTATTATTATTATTATTATTATAAGTATTAGTATTATTATTGTTGCTATTATATTTATTATTATACATATCCGATTTCAAGTGAATATTTTTGAATCGTATTGTTAACAAACTTTTTTTTGAGGTTGGTTCTAATATTATTGTGTTTTCCATAGTGCTAGTTTTCGTAGGCTTTAATAAATTGTAAAATCTAATAGATTTCCATGAACTTTGTGCATTTGTCGGAACCAATAAATTTAATGAAGTCTCTTTTAATAATTCATAAGCATCAGGCTGTAAGTTTTCAGAGGGTTCCAATAACTTAAACGTTTTTTTAACTTCAGAATTATTGACTGGCCTTATTTTCAAATACTTTGCATTATTCTTTAATGATGTTTGCAACTCAATCTCCTGATTAAAAGTCAAATTGAAGGGCTTTATTGTTCTAATGGGGCTTAATCTGTTATGATTTATGTATGGCATTATATTAGAATTCCCATCTGCGTATTCTGAACTTTCTTGTTGATTGTCTGATGAATTTGTAATGATTATTGTACTGATTTTGCTTTTAGTTAGAGTTTCTCTAATCAAATTTGTGGATATTGAAATCCAATCATTTAGTAGGGGTTTACGTAGAACCTCATTTCTTTTTTTCGATACGAAATTTATTACGCGAAGAGAATTATGAGAGAAATCGGCATTTTGATCATCATAGTTTTCTTTAAGGCCTTCTGTAATCTCGACCTGTTTTGGCAGGTATGGAGTGGTATACTTGATTATACCTATTCCTTTTATAAAATTTTCAGGACTTATATTATTTGATTTTGTTTCATATTTAAGAGCAGTTGCCAAATCCTTACTTCTAAGAGTAACATCAAATGTTTTTGGTGCCAACAGAGGGATTTCGACACTACTCATGTGTTGAGCTCTAACAGCTATAGTGTGGGCATCCATTTCCCTTATAAATGTTATGGGGGCCGCATGCATATTAATTGTATGACTAAGGACGTAATTTCTTAGGTTTACCTGTTGAAGATGTGTGGATAAAGTTGGCTTAAAAAAATAATTGGTAGTATCTGGTATTATTGTGCTAAATATTTGCGGAGCTCGAAATATATCCAAAATTTGATTGCTATAAAAGGCGGATTTCAATTTTAGAGTTGCATATGCATCCATACTTTGATGAATAAAATCATGGGATGATCTACTTAAAACAAGATGTTGCTTATGGAGAGGAATTGGCGGTGGCTTCAATATCAAATCATCGCGATTGGTAATAGATCGTTGCTTTAAGAAGGGTATACTTGGTTTTAACGTGGCCAGATAACGGTTGCTTAAGGTTGTATAATTGCCTGAAAGTATTGTTGGCCTTCCAAAAATAACATCTCCACTGGCTGTTATCACTTCACCAGGTCTTATAGGTATGACGGTATTAAGAAAGCCATTTTCATAAGTTGTATCCGAGGAAGTCTTCAAAAAGTGTTGTCGAGTAAGGGAAAAAGTTAGTATTGGAAGAGATTGACCCTGTTTGAGGCTGATTTTAGTGGTATATCGATGAAGCTTGGGTGGTTTTATATGTAAAGTATTTAAGTTTTTATTAAATGTATTTATATTCTCCCTTCGCTTGTTTGTTACATTTAAATATGGTTGTGCTACTTTGCCCATATCTTTTGTTGTTTGCTCTAAAGGTATATAGTATAGCGTATTTACCGGAATAATTTGATTTTTACTTGTTACGCTCGTTTGATGGGGCTTTTCTGTGAGACTTGTCTTTCCCATATTTGTATTTATTAATTGTTTCTTTAATATTTGCGCTACAGCAGTTAACATGGGTCTTAATCTCTCCAAATTCAAGGTGCTTATGATTTTAGAATGCGAATTTATGATGTTGTTGTAGAGTTTAGAAGTTTTTACTTTTGTGCTTAATGTGCTATTGCTCTTTAAAATCTTGGTGGCATAACTTGAAAAAAGGCTATGATTACTTTGAATATCCTTCGGTAGTTGTAAAATTGATAAAGATGTGGTAATATATGTATTTAAATATTCCTTTACACTTTCTTTAATTTTTTGCTTTAAGTTTAAAGCTAATAGATAAGAATCACTTTCCGTAACAGAATTTTTAATAATCTGATTGTAAGACTCTGTAGGAAAACTTTCATTTAATTTATTATTATCATTTTTACTAAATATAGAAGTTGGTTGAATAATCTGCTGATCTCTGTTAGAAAGACACGGAGTTTCCGTAATAACAACTTGAGTGAGATAATTTTCTTTTGTAATAGTTTCCAGAGGTTGCAATCCATTACCATCATATAACGTTCGCGTTAATAATATCCTGCTGAAATAAGTGTTTGTATATTGTGAAGGTAGCAAGCTTTCAGATATACATAAATCAGGACCCGTTATTGTATTTGTTATAGTATATTTGCAAGTGATCACTAAAGGCAGCGACTCCTGGTCCTTATTAAAGGTGTTGTAAAAGTGATATGTGGTTGGAAACACGCCAACAATTAGTTCCGGAGTCTATATATATATATATATAAAACAGTTAATAAACTATAGGTATATAAAATATATATAAATATATATCTGTATAGCTTACCTTGGAGTACGTAACATCGGGAATTAAATGGCTATACTTTCTTTCTTCTGTTAGGCTATTTGTAATAACCATTTTCTTGTTCTCCACGTGCGGACTACCATTTATCGCAAAACTTGTGCGGTAAGTATAGGTTGTTAGACAAATTTTGGTAACAAATGATTTATCATTATCGGGAATTATCACTTTGTTCTATATTTTTGGGGTAAAAATGGCAAGATATAATTATTTGAAGGCTTCTTTTATTTTTTTTTATTGTTATTCCATTGCAGAGTTTATCATAATTTTCGAAGAAGTAAAGACATTTACAAAAGTAAAACTATCAAGAAAGGGTGCTGACTTCGGCACGCCGAAGTTTGTATACCTTTCCAGTTTTAATAATATATTATATATTATAATATTTAGATTTACGGGTTAAGTTTCGTAGCTTTTCACTTTTCTTCACATCTGCCTATCGTTTCTATGCTAACTATATGAAAGAATCCTCCTATTTTTAAAATTAAAACCGAAATTCTTAACTAATACAAAATGGTCAAAGAAGTTATAATTTTTTTTATTAATTTCCTGATCGTTTCTATGACAGCTTTATTATACTCAAAGTAAATAAAAATAAATTGAAAAACAGCGAAGTTATATATATTTTTTTTTTTCTACAAATTTTTCATTTCTATGGCAGCTATATGATATAGTCGTCCGATTCGGCCCGTTCCGACATATACAACAGTGAGAGTATTCAGAAGACTATATGCAACGTTCCATTCAGATAGCTTCAAAACTGAGGGTATAGGTTGCGTAGAAACGAACAGACGGGCGGACAGACGGACACGGCTAGATCGGCTATTATTTTCCTTCAGCACTGCTAAAATTAAGTTTTCCATAATTAGCATAATTAAACAAAGTGAATTAGATAAATGCTTTGGGTACCTGGATTTCACGGTCGGTCACACTCAAATGTAGTTTTCTTACTTACTAATATTAAATAACTTATTTATTCAAAGTTAGTTTCATACCTGATTATTTAAAGGAAGCGTTAAAATCATCATTTGATTTTTTAAAGTACTTGGCGACAGAGTTAACGGCTTGTGGTGCGTTTGAGTTATCAAAATGGGTTTCGCTTGCTGACTAAAATTACTATAAAATTTCGACAAATTAGCTTTTAGCTTTTCCAAATGTTTATTTTTATTATCGCTAGCAATTATTAGTTCAACGCCATTGGACATAATGTGAGTGGCTAGATTGTACCTCGCCTCATCCCAAATACTTTCATTGTTAAATTTCGAACGTGTAAGAGCGTTGCCTTCATCCTTGAGGTACTGGATTTGCCTGCTGGAGCCTGTATTTGTAAAGCATTACCGTTTACTTTGCAATATATATTTTATTTATTCAGCAAAATAATCCATTTCAGAAAAATTTTTTACAGAAATAAATACAATATTTAAGGGAGTTGAAAACATGTTATCCTCGAGCTGTTCTTATTTTAAATTATTTTTTCCCCTTGGATTATTTTGTATCATACAAACTTTGACTTAGCGAAGTTAGCATCTTTTTTTATTATGCATTGCGAAAAAAAGAATATCAATTGATTAAAATTGATTTTTTTATATGTATTTATTTTATTTTATGTATTAAAGTAAAATATAAAAATGGGTAAAGAAAAATTAATTTATATTTATAAATATTTACAAAATTCAAATTCAATTTAAATGTTAATTGTAAGTGTATATTGACATAACGTGTTTTTATTACTTCCAATCTTAGACATGGTTACATATTTAATTTATAAGCCTTTTACATATGTACTAGGTATATAAAACTAGTAAACCAGAAAGCAAATGAAAACTTAAAATAAGTACAATTTAATCAAACAAATATTACAAAATTATCGAATATAATGTTAACAACATTTTTATTTTTATGTTCCATATTTGTTACATAATGTGTGAAACCGAATTAAATTCTTAATTAATAAAAACGCATTGAAATAAAAAAGTTTGCTGAGATAAGGATATAGTGACAGAGTGATTAAGTAAGTTTTAATTTAAAATGATTAAAAATGTTTCTGTTAATTATTGACTAGTTTTATCGGACACCTTCCAGAGGGCTTAGGTTTTGTTGGCACTATACAATTTTTGTTAAAATGTTTCCAATTTAAGAAATTGTTGTGCTTGTATTATTTATACAGCCCGGATTTTTAGTAGTCTTATTTTCTGGTACCATTGACTGTCGTGTCGATTGTGATAGCCAACGATCAACATCCCCGACAATGCTCTCTAATGATGTTGTTCTTCGGGTTAATTCAGTTGAACTATCTTCGTTTGGGATTATTTCTATGGGATCCCTTGATAATTGAGTTTTTTCTGGATGAAATTGATTTGCATTCGTCACATGAATGCTTAAATATGCTTGCCTTTTGTGCAATGAAGCAGAGTGATCGTAGCCATTTACAGTTGATAAGACAGTGCTGAATTCCCCGGGTCTTCGTCCGGATATATATAGTGTTACAACGCTTTGTTGGACCGGCTCTTGCTGTTCCAGTAACTCCATGTTATGACTCTGTTTATGACGTCTGTTGTGACCTCCCGCCGACTTTCTGGACTTTTTCCGCTGACTCTTCGACGACTGCTCAGCTTCCGTTTGGATTGATAAATCAGCAAAATCTTCATTTAATATGGTTCGCGTTGCATCATCCAAGTCTTGTAGGTTATTACTTAGAAATATCTGAGGCGACAAAGTCTTAGATATGGCTTGAGCTTCCTGCTGTTGTTGTTGTAGAAGTAATTGCTGTAATAATAAATTATTTACTTGCTGAACAGACTGTTGTTGCATTTGGCTTTGAATAATCGGAGCAGTATTAATTATTGTTTCAACGCTATATTCCGTTGCCGTTATTATCTCCGCTGATGTATCATAAACCGTTGTTAGTATCTTTTTGCCTTGAAACGTCACTGGAAGTATTGTGGATTTACCATCGAAAATCGTTGTTACATAGCTGGAGGTGTGAGTTCGATATTCGGTTACGGGTTCAACAGATGTGGGTACTATAGCTGGTATTGCACTTGGTTGTTGTATTATGGCATGACCTGGTAGGTTGAGGTTACCCAAAAGTAATTGGGACAATAGTATATTAGCAAGTGGAGCATTTGCTGAGATTTGTGGCTGTACAGTCGTTACTACATACTCTACGGAATACGCAGTAGATGGTAAAATATGCGAAAATGACGTCTTTCTGCCACGAATAGTAGTTGGTGTAAATATAATCGTACTTGTTATAGATTCATGTAGCAAATACTTTGTATGCTCTGTAATGCCAGCATTATTTATACTGGATTCTTCACGATTTAAATATAAAGAAGTCAATCCATTCGAACCTGCAAATTGGGTTAATTGATTCAGAGCAACAACTTCGATGCTGGTTTTGGCAGTAACTATATTTTTATACTCAGTGACGTGTCCATTGATCACTGGTATCATCACTTCGGCTGGTAGAAAATGAGTAACTGTTATGGGTTGAGTCTCTTGATCAATGGCTGGTAAATCCGGAGAATAGTCATTACGATTGCGTCCTCGACTTCCTCCTCTGCCTCTGCTCAATGCGTTATTCGTATTGGTATTACGGGAACGGGAAGTAGTTATAGATGATCGCCCATTGTCAACAGTGTTCTTATTATTTCCAAAGTTTCCATAACTTTTAAGTCTTCGATTATTTGAAGTTCCTGTATTTGTATTTGTACGTCTTAATGATGTGTTTCCACTGGTAGGCTGACGACGAAAATTGCTACGTCCTGTTGGTGTTCCTTTGGAAGTGGGAACATCCTTCTCTCTCAACGTAAACTGAGGACGCTTTGAAGTCGGTCGAGTGGGACGTATGGACTTGTGATTTATAATTGCTGTAGTTGTATCTGGCGTATGAAATCTAGAACCAAATCTGGAACTCGTCTTACCTCTTGGAATGATTGTACTTTCGTCAAGGTCTTCTTCTTCTTTTAGATTTGGACTTATCGCAGTGACGTTCTGGCGACGAAAACGAAAGCGACTTCTACTTAGGGGATCTACTTGACGTCGAACTCTGAGTTTAGTTGATCTTTTTTGGGTCTGAACTATCTGATGATTACCATCTTCATCGTCTTCCGAAGAATCATCGTATTCGGAATCATTATCAGTTAAACCTTCATTTGACTTAGGTTCTAGAGTATCTATTTCTTTTTGTGACTGGAAAAGACCTCGGGGTGGAAATAGGCTATTTTGGGGTCTTGATCTAATCTGGAGACCAGCGGGACGTTGAAAGTTACGAGATTTGGGCCTTGGCGTTGATGTGGATGTTGTAGTGCTTGTTGTGGGAGAAGATTTAGTTCGTGCCGATAAAAGTGGATTCTTTCTTAACGAAACTCCAGGGGAAACGCCAGAACTTTGTTTTGTTATTGGGCTAAAGCCACTGGGCCTATTTATTGGGCGCCGAAACCGAAGCAATGGATTTTGATTGCGTTTCGTTTGCTGTTGCTCTTCATCGTCACCGCTTATTTCCTCCGTTATATTTCCTTCATCATCGCTAGTAATCTGGTCGGAGCTCGAGACCTTTTTCGATTGTGCCTGTATGGTCACAGTTGATTCCAAGCTAGTTGGCTTAACTCGTAACTTGGGGTTATTATTTATACCAGAAGCCCGAAATCCTGGCGCTATCGATGAACGAAAAGATATGTTTGGGCGACGGGAACTTGAAGCAATAGGATTGGAACGTGAAGATGAAGCAAAACGGTTTCGAGATGGTTGAAGAGAAGCCTGGTTTATAGATTGATCAATGGAATTACTCAAAGATTTTGATGGACGACCGAATAGGCGCCTTGAAGTTTGAGACAAGTTAGATTCGCTAGGATTTATAGGCGCATTAGAAATAATGCCACGTCGAGAAGAGCTATATCTACCGCCAGAAGATGACTTTAAAGCAGGCGTAGCCGTAATTGTTGGTGTAATGTCCGATCTGGTTATTATGGTGGCACTACTTGGGCTAAGTGTTTTCTGTTTTGGGGCATAAGTAGGTCGATTTCGTGAGGCAAATGGTCGAATCACCGGTGCGAATGGACGTTGCGGTAAGTCTCCTTTAGTAACATCCTGATCTACACTTCCTAGTAAAGAATTTGTTGATTCAATTGTGCGTGTTTCCGCTTCATTAAGTAAATTTTGAACACTTGTTGGTGCTATCACTTCATCAGTCTTAACCTTTTCATAAAGAAAACTGGATGTGCTCTCGATGATCTGCGCATATCGATTATCTATGATGGTTCCAATAACCTTTGATTCATATAATGTTGTTGTATTATTTTGAATACGTTTACCCTCGATAAGCCGAACCAATCCAGTTTTGTACAACTTTGAGCTACTAGAACCAAAATGTCCATCATCCGGTGTGCTTAAAATTGACTTTTTAGCTTCATCGACGTGTAATCGGGAAGTGCTGCTTGTGACTTCAATATTAGAACCTTCAATGTTCATTGAAGATACAACTTCGGTGGTAAAATACAAAGTGCTTATTTCATCAGCATCTATTATATGTTTATAGTCATACAAAATAACATTGGGACTTCTAGTAGAAAGTATTATTTGCTCTTCGCTGGGAGTTACGGAAAAGCTGGGTTCAATTTCTGCCGAAGTTGAAAGGGAAGAAGTTACCACATTGGTAACTGTCTCCAAGCTTGAAGCTATAATTGTAGAATTGGCCTCATAGGAAGTTGTATAATAGGTATAAGTAGTATAATAAGTGGTGATGTCAGTGGAGGTGCTAGAGCTAGGAATTATACTATCTGATTCGGTTTTTTCAATTGAAACTTCATAGGGTGATAATATTTCAGTCCTATTATTCGTGGGTTGTATAACATTAAATAATGTCTCTTCCCGACTTAATGTTGTAATCTCACCATCTTTTGCCAACTTTGTCCAATAAGTAAATGTTGTAAAATAGGTTATGGGAAAGGAAGGATCTTCAACACTCAAAAGTTTCGTAGGTGGCAAGGTTTCGGTAGCCACATTTGTGACAGTCTCCAAGCGACTTATAATGTTTGTATCATCGCCCACATACATGGTGGTATAGAAAGTAAATGTGGTATAGCTAGTTTGTAGAAGCAACGTAGCCGATGGCATAATTTCATCATTATCATTACTCTCAGAGCTAACCTGGTCGTCCAGGGGTGTTTTCTTAATAAAACTGCTTGATTCTATTTGATCTTCCTCAACAATTTGGGGATCTACAAGATCTACTGAACTGTTATTATGAGTACTATTTGATTCGATTGAACTTAAAGTATTATTATCAGTTACAAAATTTGTAATCACTTCCGTTCTAGACATTATTTCCGTATCATTATTTGCAAATATGGATGTATAATAGGTATAGGTTGTAAGCAGAGTTTTGGTATATCTAATATCATTAATATTAAGATTAGTTATTGACTGTTTAGTTATTTCAGTTTCCGAATTTAAAACTTTTACAATATCTAAAGGTATTGTATACTTGGTAGCCAAAGATAAGCTGTTAATATCTTGCTCTTTAAGTGTATTCTCAATCGACTCCAGCTTAGTTTCCTCCAATTCGAGTGTTGAGGAAATTATATTTGTTATTATTTCAGTATGGCTAGATACAGTTGACTGTGAGCCCTCAAAAAATGTCGTCAGATATGTATAGGTTGTGTATAGAGTTTTATAAATCAAATCAATCTCCTCTGAATTACCATCATAATCATCATCACCCTCCGCCTCGGTCGTAACATCATAATCCCCAAAATTTCTAGCTGTGGTCTCATCTAGATCATCAATTAACTCTGTGGACATTAATTCTTCATGTGTAGATTCTGTAGATGTATCTATTAAAACGACAGTATCACTGCTGACCTCATTAACAGCTTCGTCTGTCTTGGCAGCTTGAATACAATAGTATTTCGTGGTTTCAACAATATCAAAGCCGAAAATTGGATTGGTATCAACACCAACTTGGATTGATGATGACTTAGACATTTGAGTAAGAAATACTTGGGATGTTAAATGACTGTGATCACACGATGAATCATTGCTATTATCTTGGCTTGATTTATTAATTGGTAAATCAATTATACTATCGTTGTACACAACTGTATTGGTAATAGTTTCAAGCATTTCTTTTCTCGTTATTTCAACACTCGAATTTGAGATTTCATCAGTTTTAAGTTCTAGAAAGTTCGTGAAGGGATCATCATCAAGAAAAACGGTTGTAGCACCTCTGTTTATCTGATTAAATATTTTGTCTGACTTAGAATCGCTGGGAATAAATTTTGATTCGGTTTGTGTGCTTAATATTTCAGTTGGCATCTCAGCGATTATGTCATGAGTTGATAGTATACTAGATACACCTTCTTTTAGAGAAAATGTGCCAGCTATACCGTCTTCTAAAGAAAATAAACTAGTTACGCTCTCTCCTAAGGAAAATGTACTAGCTGCACTTTCTGATAAGGAAAATGTGCTAGATGCACCTTCACCTAGAGAAAACTTACCAGGTACACCTTCAACAGAAATATCACCAACTTTATGTTCATCTTCTTCTGATGATATATTGTTAACACTAGTTTCTACAGAAATCTTTTGAGTTGAAGTCGCTTTCGGTACAGCGTTCAACAAAAAATCTGTTTCTGGGTTTAACGTGGGCTTGCCTTTAATTGACGTTACGTGTCCAAAATGTAAGCTGCTTTGCATGGTACTCGGTGAAAAGACAATGACACTGTCCCCAACGATTGTTGTAAAATCTGCGAATCCGTAATAAGTTACACTGGCCAATACACGTTTTGAACCAGGAGTTTCCACATTTTTTCCAATACGCTGTTGTTGAATTGTTGAAAATTTATCTTGAATTGTTTTGGTGGTTTCCTTGAAACGCCTTATATTATTATTAACAGTAAATGTTTGTAAGTTATCAGTTAATTTAGTTATACCATTCCTATGAATAAGTTCCTCCGATGTTGCTTTTATATTGTTGTTTGTAAATGGCTTGTTGACTTCAACTTGAACCGAACTCGTAGTTTCGTCGACTGGATCTAAATCGGTTGTGGTTTGTATTCCAACGAAATCTGTATTTCCCACAAACTCGCCGCGATGCACACCAAGATTGTCGTCTATATCCTGCCAGTCAACGACGTCGTCCATGTTAAATAATTCGTTGTGACTCTGCAGAGACAGTGTCTCGCCGCCGTCACCAACCCAACTGGTGACCACTGATGGTGCCAGCAGGTGTTCATTGTCATAGAAAACTCGAGAACTCTTTTTTAAATATTGCGCATAAAATCGGCCATTATTTAATTTGGTCCCAACCACTTTTGTGGCAAATTCCGTTGTTATTCCATCCTGTATAAAAGTTCTAACTGTTGAAGTTAAAAGTCCAATTTCTGGACGTACTGTCAGGAATCTTCCCTTATGAGCAGTATTGTTTACCAAAAGTACAGTAGTTACATCTTATTATATTAAAAAATTATTGCGATATATAGGAATATACAGTAAACACACAGAACAAAATATTTACATTATTATTTACATATATAAAAATATTTGTGAAAGTTAAGAAAATAAGTTAAGAAAATAAGTTTTCCAGAATGTACATCCCCAAAAAGATGGTGAAATCATAGAAAGAAAGTAGAGAGAAAATGTGAATAAGAAATTTTCTAGGTATTACTTATATGTTTTATTTTCTAGAAATATTTGAAGCAACAAATATTTGTGATTTTAATAATTAATTAAAGTGTGTATGTACGAATATTCCTAGAATTCTTACCATCAGCGCCGAGCACTGGCAATGTTGGTGTGGGGCTCACTAGATACGATTGATCTGAAAATATTATATAATATAAAGAACTAGAAATGAATATAGCAAATCATACTCTAAAGATATAATTACGGATGTATATTAAATAGAACAAGAAAGGAAGCTTAATTCGGAACGCCGACGTTTGTCGATTCATTCTTGACAAATTAATAGAAAAAAACATTACTATAAAAATATAAAATTGGTATATGAGATGATAAGATGCAATTAACTAACTTAGCTGTTTCTTATTATAGTAAATGGTTTATGTTAAATTTGTTCTGAATTTGCAAGTTATAGTTCCGGCTTTTCAGCTTTTTACTTTCCCAGCTTTCGTTTCGTTCTTCACTCTGTCGTTTCTCTCTGCTGATTGTCATTTTTTCATATAAAATACCTGTATTTTAGATTTGAAATATTTAATATAATAAACATAAATAAAATGTAATATAATAACCCCCTCTAAACATTGACAATAAATAAATAATAACACGGAAAAGCTTTCATGGTTCTACGCGACGTGCGTCGAATGTATTTATTGAAGGAGAAGTAAATCGGTACTAACTATACAAAGAAACTTAAACAGAGCTTATTGGAAGTTCTATGGACTGGAAGTCCGGAAGGATAGGGAGCGAGAGAGAGAGAGAGCATACGGGATCATTAGAAGCTGGTTGTGGTATCGCACTTCCTCCCGAAATTAAGCGCAGCGCCTTTCTGGCGTGAACATTCTGTTCTCTGGTGAACACAAATCGCATTTTTTGGGATTTTCTTACCATAGGAATGTAGTAGTGGTCATAGTCGTGGCGACTGGTTGGAGATTTTAGACGTAGGAATTTCGGTTTTATGTTGGATGGATTGCTCCCATAATGAAAGCGTCAGCTTTGGAAGTTTCGTGGAGCACAAATAAACCAGGAGGCAGTCCCAATTCTCCGTATAAAGGCCGGCGATACTAGACAATTTTGGATGGTACTTTGCAGCTCCTTTAAGGCTGCTGAGGATTCGCGTGCGATGGATTGTATGTTCAGTAATTTTTTAAGTTTTTATTTTCGAAACGCTCAGTTAGGTTTTTCCATGCTGAGTGGTGGTGAGTGGGAAATTGTAAACTACAAAATGAGCTTCACCACTAGCCTTGGCATTTAAATAGAACAACTTCTCTACAGGGGTCAGCCCAGGATTGTCGATACAGACCGCCGTTAAAAGGTCTCGGAAAGTCGACCAGCGAAGATAATAACCCGAAAAAACTTCCGTTTCGGAAATGAATTTTGGGGCCGAAAGCATTAGACTGGAGCTACTTTTAAAATAATAATTACTTCGTAGAAATGTTTGAATTAATTTAATAATTTCTATCACCATTTAAACACTCACTTTTGGATTTCGGCACAGAAATTTAAAAAAAAATGTAGAAAATGTGGAAAACGAAAAATTTTGCATTTGTAATTGGAAGGTTTTTATACTGTCGTAGTGTCAGATCAATCGGACTTGGACTTCGATTTAGACAATATTCGGCAGAAATACCGTACTTATCTTTGTGCGGTGATAAAGCCACCGGAGCTGATGCGGATGAATTTATCCGGTTCGAAGGACCAATGTTCAGAGGGGGGCTGCTTTAAGGTGATAAGAAGGATAAGTAAATCGGTACTAACTATACAAAGAAACTTAAAACTTGGAAGATCTATGGACTGGAAGTCCAGAGGGAGGGGGCGAGAGAGAGGGAGCGTATGGGATCATTAGAGGCTGGTAGCGGGACTGCACTGCCTCCTAAAATTAAGCGCCTTTCTGGATGTTAACACTCTGAAAAGCATTTTAAAAAATCCTTGAAAAACAACGAAGCTAATAGGGTCTTCCCATACACCGTCAAAGCGCATCCACCTTCCGTTGAACAAACGGTCCATAAGGTTTTGCCGTTCCGAATTTTCTCAAATGGACCGGCATCAAAGCGCATCTGAATCTAACGAAAGTGTCCCCAATTGCTACTATCACTAACCATACAACATATAGACTGGTCATTTCATACAACGAAAATGGACACAAAAATTTCCTAACATGCGGTCCCATGTTAACTGTTTGCTGTTAGCGACAGACCGTCTGTTAGATTTTAGCTGTTAGCGTCCCGTCCCATGTTAGCTGTCAGCTGTTAGCGTCAGGCCTTTACATGTATGCGTGTTCATGCATTCACGTACACGGGTGCATGTGTGCGATCGTTTCATTTCGGGCCAGCAAGAATATTTGGTCTTTTGCTACTTTTCGCGCTAGGTACCCTAACAATATGGGCATATTCGCTATTGGGTTAATGATAAAAATAAGAATGTTATATGTTATAATACATTTCTTAATGTTTCAGCATTCATTTCATATTTGTTTACAATTCAAATCAGTGGCAGCAGTGAAGTGTGTTGCATATATGTACATATATATTCGAATGAATAAAATTTCATCTACTGAGATAGGAACAGGGCATATTGCAGTCGGTGCTCGCGATCGCTTGCACATTCTGTGTGCTGCAACGCGTCGAGACGCTGGGGGTTGTTGTTGTTTTTTTTTTTTTTTTGGCCGAGCTGCTACCCAAACCGTTAGATCTCGTGCCCGTCTCTGTTTACAGTGACACCGACTGCAATATGCCCTGTTCCTATCTCAGTAGATGAAATTTTATTCATTCGAATATATATGTACATATATGCAACACACTTCACTGCTGCCACTGATTTGAATTGTAAACAAATATGAAATGAATGCTGAAACATTAAGAAATGTATTATAACATATAACATTCTTATTTTTATCATTAACCCAATAGCGAATATGCCCATATTGTTAGGGTACCTAGCGCGAAAAGTAGCAAAAGACCAAATATTCTTGCTGGCCCGAAATGAAACGATCGCACACATGCACCCGTGTACGTGAATGCATGAACACGCATACATGTAAAGGCCTGACGCTAACAGCTGACAGCTAACATGGGACGGGACGCTAACAGCTAAAATCTAACAGACGGTCTGTCGCTAACAGCAAACAGTTAACATGGGACCGCATGTTAGGAAATTTTTGTGTCCATTTTCGTTGTATGAAATGACCAGTCTATATGTTGTATGGTTAGTGCTACTATTTAATATAAAACGCCTACATCTACTTTAATTATAGATTTGGGAAGCCTATACCACCTATACACACTCATCGGGGAATTTGACCTTTGTTAGAGAAAAATCATTAGAGAAACTCAAATTCCTCGTAATCCAATTCATTGAAAGTTAGTGCGGATAAAATCAGACGCAATCTGTGCTTTTGTGGTTGTACAACAGCCAAAATAGTTGGTAAATGCTCCATTTCAATTTTGCATCTGCCAATTCGACAGCCTTTGTTTACGTTTTCATGAGCCACAGCTGTTCGGATGCAGGTGCACTTTGATGCAGCTCTGTGGGAACACGAATTTCGCATCTGCGAAAAATCCCAATCGTTCCTCACAGATGCGTTGTGTGGGAAGACCGTACAATATTTTTATTCTCTTAATTTCTAAATCTTTTATATAGCAGCTATATGATAAAGAAGTCCGATTTTAATAAAATGAAGTCCGAAATAATACAAAATTACTATATCTCTCATAGAAGATGAATTTATGTTGAAAAACAGCAAAGTTATAAGTTGTTAGTATATATTAGTGAGATTAGTACAAAGACTATCTGCGAAGTTTCATTCAGAAAACTTAAAAACTATGGAAACGGACAGAACGGACGGAAAAACGGACATGGATAGATCAATTTGGCTGTTGAAGCTGATTAAGAATATGTATGTATACTTTATAGGGTCTTTTCCGATTATATTAGTCCAAAATATGCCAAACAGAACATTTATTTATCTATCATCTATCTAAAGAAAATTAATATTAGGAATAGGATTCCCAATATTTAAATAAATATTAAAGTATAATATTTAATTTTAATTATTGAGTATTTTATATTATAGTTACCTCTTTAATAATACATTACAATCGTGTTAATCAAAAGTGTATAAATCTGAGGGTTTTATAATTCTTAGTAATTATTCCAATATTAAGAGTTTTTATTTTATTTAGTTCTTTTTATGCTCTAGCAGGGTATTAAAACTTTAGTCAGTAGTTTGCAACGCAGAGAAGAAGACGGTTCCGACCCTATAAAGAATCTGAGTCCTGTGCTAGTTTCCACTTTCACTTCCAAAATCTACACGTTTTCGTTTTTCCCTCTGTTAAGTCTCTGTTAACTTCCCAACGAATCAGCACGAATACTTTCCGCTTGTCATTTTGCTGGTGGATTCATATCCGAAAGTTCATAAATTAATTATTTTAAAATACTAATACATAGCAAATGTTATTTGTATATCATTGTCAGATGTTTTAGGGACATTAATTACTTAACAGAATTACTTAAAGGTAAAATTAACGATTTTTAAATATTTTAAAAATGTTTCACCTTAAAATCGGCTTCAACATTATTGTAAATGCGTCGGCCCTTTTCTACTTTCCGAATATTAATTTTAAACAATAATTTTTTTGTTTTCCCAATTAAAAGAACGAATATTAATTTAAAGTTTATAAAATTGTGTTTTTGTTTAAAATACCAGCCACATTTATTTACACACTAACCTAAATAATATGTGAAGGGAACTTTTCTACAACTCTATTCTTTAGCATTTTGCTACCAGAACAGCTGACTGCAATGAAAAAATCTGCAAATGTTATTAAATTCACTTCCGAACCGAATCTAGAACAGGCATGTATATATTCTTCATCAGGCAAGTCATTCAGCCGATTCGATCTAGCCATCTTCGTCTGTCATTTTATCCGTCCGTCCGTTTCTACGAATACTAGTCCCTCTGAATGAAACAGGGCAGATAGTCTTCTAACTATTTTTTCTGCTATATATATGGGATCGCCCGACTACAAAAGAACGATAAAAATTTTTTTAAAAAATTATACATTTTGTGTTTTTCATATACTCAAAAGCATGGCCATTTTGTATTATTTGAGAATGGCGGACATTTTTATTATTTATATTTTGTTACATTAAAAGCGCATTGATACTTCGGCTTTGCCCATCTCTTTTTTATACAAATTCCCATAAGTATTTACTAAATTGAGGCGCAACACCAATGGTTCACAAACTGGTTTGGCTTGTGTATATATATAGTGTGTATATGGCTGTCTTTCTCCATAACGCAAAAATTCCAATATAGTTTTCACAATTTCACACAATTTGTATAAATAAATAGAAGAAAAAAATTTAGTATGATGAATAAACATAAAAAACTGAGTATATAAACAAAAATATTGTGATTGGATTTATTTCTCTTATCAGGTGTAAAAATTCATTCATTTGATCTATGATTTATATTAACTTTATACACTTACCGCTTATTAGGGAAGCTTCGCTGTGCTGTCCTGTTGTTAACATAAAGCTCGTTAACATGAATATTAAAATGAATGGTCGATAATCCGTTCTTCCTCTGGTTTTACGTGGCTCTAACATTTTTGTTGATCCTTTTTGAAATAAATTAAATTCTTTTGTTTAATATTTGTACTTTCTCCTTTAATTGTTATATCAGACACGGTGTGATATTTGTTTTTCATCGCGTTTAAAAAATTTATAACTTAAAATATATTATATAAAAAGACACATTCATAGCAATTATCTATTATATTATATATGTATTGATAAAGGTTATAAAATAAGCCTCTCTTACTATTTTTAGATGAGGAACTACGCAACGACCAACCGTAGAAACGAAAGCCAGAGAACTGATTTCCCTGACACGAAAATAAAAAAAAATCATCCGGTTTGTTGCTTGGCTTATTGCTTCAAACCACAAAGGTGGTTTGTCTGGTTTTGGCCAACTTCAGCTTCAGAGACCCATTCCCACTCGAACAATTGATTACACTAACAGCTTTAAATTATGTATAAATAGCCTGTGAATTTATTCACAAACTTAAAAGATTTCTGCGAAAAAAAAAATATTCGGTTTTCGTTTAATGCAAGAAAAACTTATCGGATAATTCTCGAAAGGGGGTGGTCTGTTAGACGTTTAAGAATTAAAGAAAGTTCATTTAGTTAGCTTGCGGTGTACATCCCAACATTCCACAGAACTATCCGACCATCTGCGACTAAAAATAAGTTATTTTATTAAAAAAAAAATAATAATAATAAAACAGGAAATTATGTTTCAAATTTCAAAGCGAGTAGATTTTGAATACACCGACTTTCAAGATGACACTTTTCAGGAGAGTGGTCCAACTTTTTTATGCTCATACATTGAACATTAGACGACCTCCGCTCAATATTACCCATAACTTCGTAAATTTGGCTATCATCGATGTAAAGCTTTGATAAGATGTTCTTAATATATTGGGTATTAATAATAAAAATTACCTTACCCTAAGGGGGTAAATGGATAATTTATAAAACAAAAAAAAAATTTCAAAACTCCAGGACAACATTTGTGTTCCCTTGCAGGCTATTATCATTTTAGTCAGAAGTTTGCAACGCAGCGAAGGGGCCGGATCGGACGACTATATCATATAGCTGCCATCGAAAAATCTTTGGAAGAAAAAAAACTTTGCCTGTTTATAACATATGTCCATTTACCTTGAGACTCGGTTGTTTTCTATTATTTCGGAATTTCGATTTTAATTTTTTTGAAAGTCGAAAAACTATATAATTTAGCTGTCATATGAACGATCGGAACGATAGTAACGAGCCATATTCGTCTGCCCGGTTTTAGCTAAATGAAAATCGCACGACTATGTATATCATGTAACTACATAGGAGCGATCGGTATATGTAGAGGTAAATGTAAAACTGTGAATGTTAAACTGTAAATGTAAACTGTAAATATAATAATGATAGGTAAATATATTGAAAGTTTATATTCAGGCCTGCTCCGGTTATCGAAAACGGCAAGATTTTTTCGATTTCGTTTTTGAAAACGAAAAATTGGTGCTCCGGTAATCGAAGATTTTTTCGATTTCAAAAACGGGCACCTTTTTCTTGCCGGAATGAAAAGTAAATGACTTTTTTATATGAAATCAGATCTTATTTACAAAAGGAAAAAAATAGTTTTCTCAGTGGTCTATTGATGTTTATTCCACACCACCACAAGATCATTCTGGCAAGTAGTTATTTTATAAAAAATGTATTTCTGATCCCTCCTCAGATTTGACAACACAATTTTTGTTCAACCAGTTTTCTCGGTTTGGCGATAGGTCGATAAGTTCACCGCAAAAAGTTATCGCCAAGGTTGCCATACTGTTGGTGGAACGAAACAGCCAGTTAAAAATACTTATAAAATATAATTGAATACATTAATAACTTTAAAGGACTGCCAAAATGGTTGTTTATAATTAATGCTATTAAATGTGATTACTGAAATGGTCCAAATTAACCAAATAATTATTTGAGACCACCGGAATTAAAACTGTGAAAAGTGTGGCAGCATCTTAGATGGCTAGATTTGCTTAACTTTAGCATTTTTTGGCTTAGAAATAGGGCAATTGTAAATATAATAGGCAGTACTTTACGTTGTTTGCTTGTTACCAAAAACACAAGTTAGCTGCTTGAGCAGTGAGAAACGATGAGAAAACGAAACATTTCGATAGCAGAAATTTGCCGAAAACCGGAGCAGCTAAAAACGAAAACGGTTCGTTTTCGCTCAAAACGAAATCGAAAAAATTTTACGATTACCGGAGCAGGCCTGATTATTTGGATTTTTAGCAAATAGGCATTTCTATATTAAGGTCCACCAAAAAACTAAACGTTCTCTAAGATCTTTTTTGACAAAGCATATCTTAAAACAGCTATCGAAATATTCGAATACAATGTTGCGAAAACTCGATTTTTCTTTGTTTTGATGAAAAACATCATAAAAAGGGCATGTTACTTTGACCTTTGATTTCTAACATCTCTCAGAGAATGCAAAAACTCGAAAATAAACGCAAAAGAAAATATGCGATTACCAATAAGGTACAATTTTGATTTTCATTGTCGCTTCCTTTTATGTCCCGTGCAAATCTAATTCAAATTAAATTTAAAAAAAAATTAAAGTCATTTTGGAATAAACTTATAAAAGTTTTTTAGAGGCATCTGTGCATTAAAATATTCCCGCTGAACTGAAGGTTAGGTAATAGGGTCTTCCCACACACCGTCAAAGCGCATCCACCATCCGTTGAACAAACGGTCCATAAGGTTTTGCCGTTCCAAATTTTCTCAAATGGACCTGCATCAAAGCGCATCTAAATCTAACGACCGTTTGTTTGGCGATAGTTTTTCGGTGCAACTCTGATTTATTCTTCTCAACAGTGAAAATTTACCTAACACTACGAAAATGTAAACAAACTTGGTGAGGAACAAATGCAATATGGAATTTAAAATGTGGTGCCAAAGCTACAAGCATGCCCAAAATAGTTGTTGGCGTTTTTTTTTTTTTGTATATTCTTGCCCCAAAGTGTCCCCAATTGCTACTATTTAATATAAAACGCCTACATCTACTTTAATTATAGATTTGGGAAGCCTATACCACCTATACACACTCATCGGGGAATTTGACCTTTGTTAGAGAAAAATCATTAGAGAAACTCAAATTCCTAATCCAATTCATTGTAAGTTAGTGCGGATAAAATCTGACGCAATCTGTGCTTTTGTGGTTGTACAACAGCCAAAATAGTTGGTAAATGCTCTATTTCAATTTTGCAACTGCCAATTCGACAGCCTTTGTTTACGTTTTCATGAGCCACAGCTGATCGATCAGCTGTTCGGATGCACTTTAACGCAGCTCTGTGGGAACACGAGTTTCACTTTTTTTTTAAATCCCAACCGTTCTTCACAAATGCGCTGAGTGGGAAGACAGTCAGGCCTGCTCCGGTAATCGTAAAATTTTTTCGGTTTCGTTTTGAGCGAACACGAACCGTTTTCGTTTTTAGCTGCTCCGGTTTTCGGCAAATTTCATTTCATTCTATTTATATTTTATAAGTATTTTTAACTGGCTGTTTCGTTCCACCAACCATATGGCAACCTTGGCGATAACTTTTTGCGGTGAACTTATCGACCTATCGCCAAAACGAGAAAACTGGTTGAACACGGCAAAAATTTTGTTGTCGAATCTGAGGAGGGGTCAGAAATAATTTTTTTATAAAATAACTACCTGCCAGAATGATCTTGTGGTGGTGTGGAATAAACATCAATAGACCACTGAGTAAACTATTTTTTTCCTTTTGTAAATAAGATCTGATTCCATATAAAAAAAGCCATTTACTTTTCAATCCGGCCAGAAAAAGGTGCCCGTTTTTCAAATCGAAAAAATCTTTCGTTTTCGATTACCGGAGCACCAATTTCTCGTTTTTAAAAACGAAAACGAAAAAATCTTGCCGTTTTCGATTACCGGAGCAGGCCTGAGTATAAAATATAGTTATTTTACACAATTAAAAAAAATTTGTATACATTTTATCAATCCAATTGCAAACTGTAAGGATATACAAACTTTGGCGTGCGAAGTTAGCTTCCTTTCTTGTTTTTTTTATTGTTTCAAAAGCACGGAATCAAGAGGGTAACACAGTTTTGCAGCGGAAAAAAATACCTTTTGAAGTGTGACCGATCTATTCACTATTTCTTTGGCGTTCTTGAAGTGCAAATTATGCGGCCATACTTTTTTGACAACAGAAATATTTGAAAACAGGCGATAGTGGATCAGTATCCGGCTCTGGCAAAGCGATAAAATAGCCTTGATGGCCTGCGGCTTCCTTATTTATATTTTTACTATTTCACCCAGACACTCATCTTCCAAATACATAAATATAATTACCCAATTTCAAAATGTTGAATATTCTTATAGCTATTTAAATTAATAAACTTTTTCTGCTCTCTGAACGCCTAAATTATACTTTTCCGCGCATTATTGTGGGAGATTCATAACTTTAGATACATATGTGAACGAACTGTAAGACAAAGCGAGGGGTAAATATTATTATTTCTCGACGCCGCTCTGGAAAAACTAAAAGTGTGCCCTCCAGAATTTCGATTTCGGGTCTCGGGTTTTGGTACAGGCCTTTAAAGCGGCGCTCATGACCAGCCGTACAGAGGCACCTTTAAAACAAAAACCGTTGCATCAAAAAGTCATGATCGCAAAACCGTTTTAAACCATACATATCCTACAGAGAATTTTCTGAGGTTATTAAATCTACTTTATCTCCATTTCTGATTCTCTCTCGATCAACGAAGTGATCTATAAGATATTGTATCGTTTTATTTGAATACAATGAAATCAATCATAATTAATAAACCCTTGTGAATTATATAAATCTTTGTTATCGGAATTTTGTTTAAAGTTTCCTATTTCAATGCCTTAAAATAAATATTGTAATAAATAAATCACGCAAAGCAATGGAAAATCCCAGGACAGGAAAGCGCCGCTGATCATAGGCGGGTCGGACACTGGAGGCTAAAAGCGGATCTGACAGCTAGGCTGATAAGCGATCTGATGTTTCTTTCTCTGAAATTATCAGCTCGCTTGTAAGCCCACCCAGCAGACAAAAACTCCGTAAAAAATATTAAAAACTGAAGTTTTGCGGACTGCAGGCGGACAAAACGTCCGATTTTAGGCTCAAGAACGGTAGCAAAGTAAATTACTTGTCCTGTGGTTTGTGGCAGCAAAACCTCTCATTTTCGGAGCACGAACTAATAGCGTTTGCGGACGCTGTGGCGAGACCGGAAACAGTACCAATAGCAACCCCTTTACGAGACCCGAAAAAGGATCGTTTGCTGACCGGTGGCAATACCGCAGGAAGTACTGTTTGCAGACCTTTTGACGATGCGTTTCAGATACATTTTTAATATCTATTTCCAACTAAATTTTTTTAAAATTTCGGTTTTTTAAATGTAAATAAAACATACATTTATTTATGTTTATCAATTTTTATTATTTATCATTATTTTACTTAAAAAATAAACATTTTACTTAAGATTTGTTCATTTCCTTAAAACTAATAATACTTAATACTAATACAAACCGTCCTGTGCATTCTGCTTTTGTGTCGCTCTATCGAAATCTGCGTCCTCCAACGCAAATTTGTTTATAAAAGCGGCTGTAAAAATATAAATTATTATAAGTATATAAGTATTAAAAAATATACGAAAAATATACATACCTTTGACGGATGACGTAATAAGCATCTCTCGAATGGACATTTTGGACTCTGTCCCAAACCAGGACCATTGGCGCGCCACTGCGTCGGAAATTAAGTCTCCCAGCATAAATAAATATAAATCTAGTCAATATTAGTTCATTAGTATGAGATTGTACATATTAGTCAATTTAAATTTAACACTTACCGATGAAAACACGTGCGTCTTGTAAAAAACTGTTCACTCACGTCCGCACAACTCGCCGGTCAAAAGGAAAAGAGTCGCAACGGGAAAAATTCCACAAACCAAAAGAGTTAAAAGATGGTGCAATAATATTTGCCTCTCGCTCATTTGCAGCGAAATAACAAAAAACAGGCAAGCGACAAAAGAAGGAAGGAGAAGAACCGTTCATCGAGTTCTAGAAATTTCGTTGACGACAAGATTTTTAACGCGTGCAGTGTGTTTTAGTGTCCGTTAGCGGGACATTTGCGGCATTTGCACGGGTCCCAGTGTTCGCCCGTTTCAGTATCCGTTTTCGGCTCAGGTTTCGACAATTAGGCAAACCTATTGCGGTAAGTCCGCTATTTGGCCGCCCACTGTACGTTTCAGTGTCCGTTAGCAATACGTTTTCGGCATATTCACGAGCAACGCCACATGGTTTGCTTTTCGTCCGTTTGCGCGTCCGTTTTTGAGCATTCCCCGAACCTAATGCGGAAACTCCGATTCGTTGTTCGCATTTAATATTTTTAGCGGACATTTCTCGGATCCATCCGCACCGAGACCGCTCTTTGCCTGCTGGGTACATACTTACTATTAATCAGTATATATTTTAAGCCCATCTATTAAATGTAAACACACATTCGATTTATAATTCATTTAATGAAGAAAATTTCCTACTTCTTAATTTTATATAAATTAAAGTTATTCTGCGAAAAAATTCATAAAATAAATAAAACTTAAATGTATTTTGAATGCAATTCCAATTTTACATATGTCCTTATTTATTAGGTGATTTTACGTAACACTTAATATAATATTGTACAAACTTAGTATATTTAAGTACAAAATATTCTTGATTATAATGGCAGAAGCTTACTCTAAAACCGTATACCTAAAAATAGGATTACTATGCATTTCTCTTTTACAAAGTACTATCTTCACTGTTAACTTACATATTATTTAGCTGACGTTGCTTCAAAAAATCCCGGAAACTTGCTATTTTGCGGCGAATAATTGCTTTGCTCAGCTCCCAAATTAACATAATGCTGTTGTTCGACTTCCCATTCAATGAAACCATTGGGCTCCTCGTAAACCTCACTTATTGGCGGCCAATTAACATTATTCAAAACATCATACTCAAGTCTCATATATTTTTGTTTCGATGTAAGCCAGTTTTGATCACGCTTCACTTGATATTTTTTAAATACCAAATATTCAACGAGAAAACTCTCCACAAAAACATGGCATATGAAGGCTGACAAGCCATAAAGTAACATTACATAACGAAAACTCATTACCGGAGGTACAACGAGTTGGAAAAAATTGGCTATCCATTGGCTCGGATAAACAGTTAAATAGATAATTATACATAAGTTTATAATAAATGCCAAACATAGTGGATAGTTTGACCATAGTGGCTTACGATATGGTGCACCTTTAGAGAAGACAAAGGCGAGGATTATGTATTGGAAGCTGGAAATGCAAAACATAGTATAGTTTTCATAACAACCCAAATGCTCTTCATCCGACTGAGACTGAAAGGGTTCGAACCAGGGCTGCAGATGCAAGTGAAACCAGCCTGAAAGCAGAATGAAATTTTGTTGGTTATTACATAAAACACGGTACAAATTCAAAGAAAAAGAGAACCACCCAATGAACCACAAGGCATCGTAGTCGCACTTAAAAACAATATAAATCGGTGAACATTGATTCAAGACAAGATTGATAATTGCTAAAATTATTTTTTTTTTTAATATCAAGAATATAGAATTTTAAGAATTAGTCTTTAAAACACTGTTTTCAGAAAACTTAAGCGTCGTTACAATTATGCGGGTAACATTCCAAATATTCAACGTAAACTATTTTTAAAAACTTAATTTTTTGAAAATTCTAACTAGATGTAATACTTTAGCAAACTGACTCAATGTCGACATATATATTACTTTTATATATAACTGTATATATAGCAGGGAAAATGTAAAGCTGTTAATTTCAAATACATAATTAAATTAGGTTTTTTTATACACTAATGTTTTGGTAATTTTACCAAAACCAAATAATATTATATATCTCCTCTTAATTTTATTTGACCAAAATGGAGCAATTCTTAATGATCCAATTAGGAACTGCAAGGGTATATAAAATTCGGCGTGCGAAGTTTTCTTCATTTCTAGTTTGTTGAAAAATTAATATTGTATAATGCTTACCCGCCATCTGAAATCCGGTTACCACAGTCAAATGCAGCAGTAGGGAAGCCAATGGAGTTAAAGATATCAACGAGCTAAGAGGAACCTGCTTAACCAAATTGCCATCAAATGATTCCGTTTTTCCAAAAAAGAAGGCAAATATGGATATTAAACCAAGATCTACATATAGATATTGTTTATCAGTTAGATTCGAATCGATTGAATAGAGAATCATAACAGAAATAAATTGAACAAGTGAATAAGCGGCCATGTATTTAAAAATGCCAAAAGAGGTGACCAGCGCCGCCCGTCCTTCCTTTATCACATTAATAACGGAAGCAATTGTTGGGCTTCGTGAGGTAAATGGCGATGCTATGGAGGATTCTGTTTCACTTAGAGAAATGCCAGCATGAGCTACCTTAAGAGCACCACAATCATTGGCTCCATCGCCACACATGGCCACACAGTAATCCAAATTCTGAAGCTCCATTATTAACGCCTGCTTTTGATCCGGTGACATTCTGGCATAGATAGAGCCACGAGTTAATATATTCCCCAATTTTTCCGGAAAATTTTCTTTTATGATTTGCCAAGTTTTGCCATCCATAGCGAAAACATATTGCTTTCTCCAGCTGTTATCATCCTGAAGTTGTAAACCCACTTCCACATCTGTTATATCCATGTTATGTGTCCATGTTTCTGTTGTTTTAACACTCGCCAAACTATCACTCGTGGGAAGGACAGTGTTTATACTTGATGTACCATCATTAACATCATTATTGGCTATTGAATATGATGATGAATTCAGGGGCATCGGTTTTCCATTACATTCCAGGTGCGATGATGTTATTTTACTGCCCAAATCCAATGTATACTGAAGCTTAAATTGCTGATGCAGACTTTCATTAGCAATATTGGCACGTTTGGAGGAACCAGCTCCCTCAGCTTCTGCTGAACCAAATTGATTAGTGTGGCCAACTGCATCAGCGTGAACTGTTATAACAGCTTGCGCAGTCCTTACAATTCCACAATCCCGAGCCACACTCATCGCTGTTAAAATATTATCGCCAGTTATCATTATCGTACGTATCTTTGCTTCATTTAACGCATTAATAACTCGCGCAGTATCCGGTTTCAGGCGGTTCTCGAGTATTACGAAACCCAAAAATGTTAAGTTCGATTCGACATCCTCCCGGGCTAGTCTCTGAACTTTGGTATAATTCATTTTTGGTGACAAAGCCTTAAAGGCAATGGCAATAATTCGATAACCTTTCTTGGCAAAAGTCGATAGCTGATGCGTGTAGTCATCGGGCAGACTCTGGAGCGTACACAATTTCTGTAGCATCTCTGGTGAACCTTTGCAGTAAACATTAAAAACTTGCGAGCTAAGACAGCGGGTAAGCACCGACATTCGTTGTAAACTGGAAGTGAATGGAAATTCTCGTACAATTCCATGATCAAAGGTTCGCTCATTATGGGAAATTCCAACGGAAGCCAATATATCATCAACCGAAGATTGTCGTTTAATTTCCTTGGGAATATATTTATCGTTATCGTTATCGTTTGCCGTTACCGCCATTCTTGGTTGCCTCAAAATGGTTGGATAAAGCAAACCATATTTTTCATTATCTGGTATATTGCTTGAATCTTCTAGAGTCCAGCCTGTGGACTGAAACATCTTTAGATCCAGCGGATCACCCATCAAAATACCGTTCATTACGGTAATCGAGTGACAAGTGACCATTCCGAAAAGAAAATGATCGTACGGCAATCGTTTGACGTTTTTTAATGGAATTTGAAATTGATTCGTTGATGATTTTGGTAAAACGCCCCACATATCTAGACCATCTTCGGTAAGGGTCCCAGTCTATAAGTAATACAAAATACAGACAGAAATAATTTATAAAAAAAAAGAAACAAGAAAGAGAGTAAGGTACTCCTCCATTCCGTTCGGTTTCGATTAAGAATATAACAAAATTAGATAAAAGTAGATGGAAATATTCTAGATATGAAGGACTAACCTTATCAAAGCAACAGCAATTAATGCTTCCAGCCACATTAATCGATCGGGGCGAAATGCAAAATATTTCGCTAACCTTTAAACGTTTCTGTGCATAGAATCGTCCAACCGTCATTGCTGCTGGCAGGGCTGGTGGGACAACAATAGTGATCAAATCCAAAGATTCAACAGCTATTTTGACAGGATCTGTGCCACGTAATATCTGAAATATTAAAAAAAAATTTTTTTAATACAAAGTAGAAAAAGAAATGACTCTAATTTTCCATATCAACAAGTAGATGAAAGACATAATTTTTTTCTATTAGTTTTCCGATCAAGCATATATGATAAGAGCTCCAGAAAGTAAGCTAACTTCGGCACGTCAAAAATGTTTGACGTTTGATTTTGAATTTAGATCTTAAACAATTGATTACTTTTGCTTAAATGAAGTACTTTAAGATATATAAAACAAAATGATATAAGAATTCGGTTTTAATAAAATGACAAGTGAATCATTTGGGGAATTTGGGGAATCAATTGGGAACATAACATATTTAACCAATTCTACTGCTACACACATAGAGCTTTTTTAAAGTTTATTATACATTTTATTTTACAAAGTAACTTAATTTATTTTGACAAAAGTCAAAATGTTGACTTCCAGTTCTAATACCAAATCAGGAAAAAAATTAAAAAATAAAAATGCCACGTGAGTACCTCGGGACACATATCCTTTATCGAATTCAAAATATTTGTTTGTTGTATCTGATGATTCTGTGGACAGTTAGGATGATTTTTAAACGTTTTTATCGAAACAAAACATGTCCTTTTTATGCCCTTGCAAGGTATTATAATTTTAGTCAGAAGTCAAGGAGTCATTTCCGACCCTATAAATCATATCTTCTTGATCAGCCGAGTCGATCGGTCTGTTCGTATGTATGTCCGTTGCTACGCAAACTAGCTTTAAAACTATAAAGCTATCTGAATGAAACTTTGCAGGTAGTCTTTTGACTACTCTCACTTTTATATATGTTAGAAAGGGCCAATCGGGTGTATTCGTAAAGCTGCCATACAGCTTACTTTGCTGGTTTTCAACATATTTTCATCTAATCTTGAGATATGATAATTTTGTATTATTCTAGAATTTCTGTTCTAATTTTATGAAAATCGGACGACTATATAATATAGCTGCCTTAGGAATGATCGGGAAATTAATATACAAATATTATAATATCGCTGTTGTTCAACATATTTCATTTTGAAAATCGGACGACTATATCATATATCCATATTAACGATCAGTAGATGTGAATGCAAAATTGTGAATATAATATGTATAGGTAAATGTAATGAAACTTGCTATTATTTTGCTTTTTTCTAAGCGTATAAAAACTAATATTTAAAAAAACGAATTGTAATAAGCTATTAATAAATATAAATATTTTGTTTAAAACTCCTGTTAGTTTTTCTTTTCATTCAAATAAATTCAAAATTTCTTTTATTTAACAAACTAAGTTATTTTTTGGTTTGAAATTAGAAAAATATCACGTTAGTACCTGGAAACACTTATGCTTTTAGTACTGCATTGAATTTCTTTGGTGTTGATTTTGTGGGCAGTAAGTATGTACACCACAAACCAACTTTTTTTAAGGACTCGAGAGATTTCCTTCTGCAGGGTATTTAACTTTAATAAGACGTATGCACGTATTGAAGGAGTCTGTTTCTGCCCTATAAGAAATATTCTTGATCAGCATCAACAGCAGAGTCAATCGAGCCATGTCCGTCCGTCTTTCCGTTTCTATCTGTATTAATATACTTTCCAGATAGTCTTCTGACTACTCTCACCAGTATGTAAGTCGGAACGGGCGGCATCGGACAACATATAACATATAAAATATAACATTTTTTTTCTTTTTCATCTACTTTAAGACATAGACTTTTTTATAATCTTATAATTTCGGTTTCAGTTCATTGAACATCGCACAACTATATCACGAATCTGCCATAGGAGCGAACTATATATGTAGAGGTAAATGTAAAGCTCTGAATGTGAAACTGTAATTGTAAACTGTAAATATAATAAAGATAGGTAAATGTATTGAAAGTTTATATTATTGGGTTTTTTCAGCAGATATTCATTTCCACATAAATGTCCACCAAAAAATTAAAAGTTTACCAAAATCTTTTTTGTAATATAGTTACAGTAATGAGATGTTTTTAACCAAAATATTGAAATATCGTGCGAATTTGCATTTGAATATTTCTAAATCTGCTTTAGAATATTCTTAATCGGTATGAGAACATGCTAAAATCTTTCAAATTGAATTTATTGAGAGAATTCTTAATGTGTCTTATTAAAATCAACGAATTATGAAATCTCATGTATATTTTTTCGGTCGCAGTTGACGTAATGCCCATATGTTTCGAAAAACAATGAAACAGAAATTTTTAATTCAACATTATAAGGGCTGCTAAAAAACCCGCCAGTATACACATAGATTAAATTGGACTACGAACACTCAAAGTAACTTACCTTGGTCACTAGTGTATAAATAAATCCAATGCAAGCTATTAAAGCAAGAAACTGTATAAACTTGTAGGAATCTTGCTCAAATTTAAAATCCACGGGTGGGGGATATAGAATAGATCTGATCAACTCCCCTTTGGCCGTTATATTTCCAGTATTTATAACAAAAGCTAATACTTTTTTTGATCCAATATACCGCGTTTGAATAACTTTGGTTCCACAAAAGAGCGTATGTCGAGCATGTTCTTTTTTGTCATATATAACATCCCGCTTTGAGGGCAATGGCGTTTTGGTTACCGGCACGCTTTCTCCCGTTAGCATTGACTCATCGAGAATGCAATTTCCTGACAACAATACGGCATCACATTGCATTGTACATCCAGACGATGGTATTTCAATGATATCTCCGGGTACTAACGATTCCGTTGGACATTCCTTGGATAAACCGTGCGGGTCCACGACCAAAGCGTTGCCAGTGTTGTAAACAGTTTTTATCAGGACGTCTTGATTCTGGGTGTAAGAAAAGTAATTAGAATATAATATATATAATTAATTAAATAGAATATATAATATATATATATATATATATATATATATATATATATATATATATATATATATATATAAATATAAGGTGTACATTTATTTAATACTTACCTTTTTAGTTTGTAAAACAGAAACAGTTATGCCAAACATGGACATTAATAGTATGACGCATGCGTAATAATAGTAATCATATGTAAACCATAAGATCACTGAGAATATTTGAAAGACATAAAAGGGATTTAGAACTTCGAGAAAGAGTAAAGTCTTGACATCGCGCAACGGTACAGTTATAGCATTATCCCCAAATACAATACGTCGCGAAAGTTGTTCATCCATACTTAATCCCTTCTGTTGATGATAATACGAGCAGAATATATTCAAGTCCAGGCCATTAATCCGTCGAAAACCATTTTGGGAATTATCCCAAGCATAAACCAATTGTTTACATCGAAATATTCGCAGGGTTGAACATCCTAAAATCGTTATTTATATATATTATATATTATTTTATATTCCTAAGTGTTGGATAATGTTCACATACTTTTGAACTGCGCTGATGTGAAATGTACAGAAAGGCCCAGGGGATTTTCCAAGTCCATGCCGTCGTTCTCTTTGGGCAATAAGGTTCTGATTGAAATTGAGACAAAATTGTCTTTAATTAAACTTCACAACAAGAATAAATAACACAGGTTCAAAGTTACGAGGTTCAATGGTAGAATATTGTAAAATACATTAGGAGTTATACTCATAGATAGTTTGTAAATTTACTTGAGATTGTTTCCACTCAAAACCTGAATACGCTTCACATGATATAGCTTATGTTTCCCTTGATAGTCCTCTGAAAGGAAAATGAAAGATATAGTAATTATTATTGATTTAAGAGGTTACATTACTCAAAAAGTCCTTTTTTTTTCAAAAGAAGAAACAACTAAACTATTGAGATTTTGGCATGTTATTACTCAGAATAACACAAAATTTGCTTAGCTAAAAAAGATCTAGAAATGACCAAGAGCCCCTGCGGAAAGCAGTAGAACTCGACCAAATTTAGACCTAGTAGAACTATATTCTAGATATTGTGAATATATATATATATATATATTATATATTTTGTGAAAATAACCAGTTGTTGAAGAAAAGGCTTTAAGTTTGTTTAGTGTTCTCAAAATTAAATATTGTTTAAAAATCGAATAATGCCTTGGTGATACATAAATCGTTTTATAATATATGTTTTATATGTGGTTAAGGGGGGGGTAAGGTATTTAATTTTTTTTTCGTAATTTTTTTATATTTTTTATTTTTAAGGCCTAATATCTTAAGAATATTGTGTCCACGTTTTCGATCGATCGATCGATCATGGGAAAATTGACGAAGTTATGCAGAGTTGAACGAAGGTCGGTTGGTGTTAAATGCATGAGAATCACAAAGTTTAAAGCGCTCTCCTGAAAAATTCAATTTTTCAAATCGGTGTACACGATTACAGAAAAACTACTGGACCGATCGATTTGAAATTTGGCACACACATTCTTTAACAAATTCCTCAGGTAATCACGTCGGCCTTTTTTTAATTTTTAATTTTTATATATTCTTAAATTAAGAAATAACGTTTTTTTTTTTAGTCAAAAATCGGGTTTTTGACTTTCAAATTTCCTAAAAAATCACAAAATAAATAAAAAAAAAAAACGCTTCCTGAATACCTCGGGACACTTATCCTTTAACGAATGAGGTATAATTTTTTTAGATCGGATGATCCTGTGGACTGTTAGGATGTACACCGCAAAACACCTTTTTTTGGAGGCGACTCGGGAGATTCCCTATAACTTCTCTACCTCTAAATATTTTTCAATACAAAATTTATCAAAAATTATTCAGATGTTGTGTTATTATATGGTATTTAATTCATTAAGCTAACTTTAGCCGTTCCGCCACAATGATGAAAAGTGGCCTTTTTTGCACCGAATTAACCTTACCCCCCTTAAAACTCCTAAGTACTAAGGTATTTAATTTTTTTGTTTTTAAATTTAAAGGCTCAAAATCTCAAGTATTACATCGATCTTAGAAAAATTGACGAAATTATGCAGACTTAAACGGAGGTCGTTTGGTAATCAATGTATGAGTTAGAGGTTTACGCCGATGGTTAAAGGCATCGGCGGCGGCGTAGAGGTCAAAATGACTCGGCGGCGGCGGCGTAGTAGTCAGAAAGAACCGGCGGCGGCGGCGCGTCAAATAAGGCAAAAAGGCCATTTTAATGAGTTATTTATTTTTTTTAAGTTTTATAAAGAACAATGACACTGAAGGCCGCGCTGAAGCTGCGCCGATGCCGCACCAGCGGCGCGCCGCGGCGCGCCGTTATTTTCATAATTTGGCGGCGGCGCGTCAAATAAGGCAAAAATCGGCGGCGGCGGCGGCGTGGCGCGGCGGCGTATATGTCTAGTATGAGTGTTACAAATGCCACTTTGAAAATCTGTGTACACGACAACTCGAAATCTACTGATCTATCTAATCGGTTTGAAATTTGGAACATAACTTCTTTAACTAGTTCTTCAGGTACTCATTCGAGCGTTTTTATACCCTTGCAGGGTATTATAATTTTAGTCAGAAGTTTGCAATTCTGTGAGTGATGATAGAAAGCAATAGTTAAGTTTTTATCAAAACAAAACATTCTCTTTTTATATCCTTGCAGGGTATTATAATTTCAGTCAGAAGTTTGCAACGCAGTGAAGGAGACATTTCTGACCCTATATTCTTGATCAGCATAAACAGCCGAGTCGATCTAGCCATTTCCGTCCGTCTGTCCGTCCTACCGTCTGTCCGTTTCTACGCAAACTAGTCCCTCAGTTTTAAAGCTATCTGAATGAAACATTGCATATATGTAGTCTTACTCTCACTGATATATATATCGGCCGGATAGGACGACTATATCGATCAATCTTTAGAAAAAAATTATAACTTGGCTGTTTTCAACATTTTTGCATCATTTTTGAGATATCGCGAATTATATTATTTCAGATTTTCAATTTTTATTTTGTGAAAATCGGACTACTATATCTTATAGTTTCCATAGGAACGACCGGAAAATAATAGAAAAAATTATAACTTCGTTTTCTTTCAACGTATTTTGATCTACATTGAGATATAAGCTTTTGGTATTATTTCAGAATTTTGCTTTAACCCTCTAGTGCCCAAGACCGCCTCTAGACGGGCAATGTTAAAAACACCGTTATTTTATTATTTTCATTCCTTTTCACACGGTTTTCCGTTTTTTCTAATTCAGGAAAGTCCAAAAATTAAGTACGTTGCGTTTGGAATACATACTAGAGCTAGCGCAAGCTGCTGTATTCATTTGAAGTTGAAAATTTGTGCAAATCGGACAAAATAATTATTTTTTAGGTAATACAACATGTAAATACTTTTTTTAAAAATTCGAAAAAAAAATAGAACAAAAAATTGTACTGTGTTGCTGACAGTCTCAATGACATTTATAATAAACATTTAAACAAAAAAAATTTTTTACCTAATTTTTTGTTGGCCTATCTTCCCAGAACTGCCTTCATGCGGTCCAAGGTTTTAGTCGTATAAAACTCGATCCGAGCAAAAGCAAAATTTTTTCCAAAACAAACATTCACTTTTGATACATACTGAATCCAAAAATAATTTTTTTTTTTGAAAAAAAAAATTTGGGCACTAGAGGGTTAAATATTATGAAAATCGGACAACTATATCATATAGCTGCCATAGAAACGATGGGTGGATGTAGAGAAAATGTAAAGCGGAGAAGTCAAACTGTAATAAAAAAATATATGCAAGGGTATACAAACTTCGGCGTGCCGAAGTCGGCTTCCTTTCTTGTTAATTTTAAATTTTAATATATTTTTAATTTAACAAATTAACAAATTTTTTTTGTCAAAAATCGGGGTTTTGACTTCCAATCGAGGAAATCGGAAAATCGGAAATAGTGTTTGCAATATTTTATATATCTATTATTTTCTAATCCTAAACGTGCAAGACGTGAGCACTGGTATTTCGGCGAACACAGCTGTATTTTTAATCCCACCCTAGCCATGTCCGGCTGTCTGCTTGTACGCAATCTAGTTGATCAAGAATTATATCATTTATAGGTTCGGAATGTCTCCTTTAGTGCGTTGTAAACTTCTGACTAAATTATTATACCCAGCAACGGGATAAAAAATCAAAGGTCTGTGGTAGGCTAGATACACATAAGGCCCACTGTATTGAAGAGGCATTCCAAACTTAAAATTTTTAGCTAAGGCCATAGCCTCAAGATCCAGATGGTATTGGTAATTTTGTTTTTGATTTTGGATTTCCTAACTTTCTAACTTTTTTCCACTGTAGTACAAATGTTGTAGCTCGCGAAAGCTTAGATAAATTTACTTAAAACAAGAACGAAAGCTAACCTAAGCACGCCAAGTTAGTATACCCTTGCATATTGCAGTTGGATCATTAAAAATCGATTCATTTTAGTCAAATAATTAAAAAACTTACAGGAGCTATAAAAAATACATGTTTATACGTAGGATATAATATATTAAGGGGGGACATCTGAGTAACTTTTTTTAAAAATTGAAAAAATTTTTTTTTGCTTAAAAATTACTTTAGGGTCTTAAAAATAACATATCAAAAGATAGAGTCCGGCAAAAGTTTCTAAGTGTCGAAATTTTCCATTCTGCGGCGATGCCTCACATGTAATCATATACGATTTTAAAACTTTAAACGCGTTTTTCTCAAAAGCACCTTTTTTGAGTTGGCCGAAAACATAACTCGAACAAATCTTAAGCGATAGATCTGAAATTTTGACAGTATATTCAAAATACCTATGGCTATCGACACACGTAGAATTTTTTATTTTTTTGGCTTACTTTTTTTTTATCAACAATTTTGTGACGTTTTTTTTTTATGAAAATTGAACTTTTTTTTTAATCACTCACCATTTTGAAAAAAATCAAAATATCGAAAAAATCCTACGTGTGTCGATAGCGGTTGAGATATAGAAAATAACAAAATTTGATTTTTTGTTCTAAATCAAAAATTAAGGACGTTAGGTTTTCGGCCATGGACCCCTTTCAAAAAAAAAATAGGGCCTACGAAGACATGCTGCACAGCCGCCATTTTGTTTTCGATTTATTAAAAAAAAAATTATTTTGTAGTTCACATCTAACATTATCAAACATACTTTAAAATTTTTCGATTGGCTTTTTCATTTGGCCAAAAAAAATTCCAGAAAAACGGCATTTTTTTTGCCAGTTACTCAGATGTCCCCCCTTAAATTGCTAGAATTAAAAGAAAAATTATTTTTAAATCTTATAAAAAACCTATATTTTAGATTTTAACTATCTAATAAAAAGGACTTATAAATGTTATGCTGAATAAGAAAACAAATAATTTTGACTTTAAGGGGTTATTCGGGTTTTCAAACTCCAAAAATTTTTTTTTTTTTTTATATAATAGTACAAAGTGTCAGGAATGTGGTCCGAAAATTTGAAGTCGATCGAAGCAAAAGTGTAGGAATGGGAGAAATTTAAAGCCCATCGCGTCGTATGAGTCACAACTGGCAATTTAAACGCGTTTTTCTCAAAACCACTTTCTTGAAGTCTGTAGTCACGATTTCTCGAAAACTATTGCACCGATCTCCTTCAGCTTTTGCACACTTTTTCTAGACATGTTTTTGTTGTCGTTGAACGAAGGATATGATCTTCAATTACAACTGATTTTATAACCCAAAATATGGCCAAAATTTACGTAAAAAGTGACATTTTTCGTGAAAAACGCTACCAAAAATTCAATTTTTAATTAAAAAAAAAATCCTCCGTTCAAAAACAAGCCAGACACATAAGCTAACATAAGCTAAAAATTTTGGTTTTTTGAATTCCTATAAACATTGACGGAGATATCCTACCTACCGCAAGAACATAATTTTTTTTTTGGGTTAAGTTCAACCCTCCCTCAACGGCTCATTTCTCAATATTTCTTGTTTAAATTTTTACACAATTTAGTTCAAACATTCATGTAGAATAAATAAAATTTGCAAAATTGCCATAGAATTTTTTTAAAAAAATTCTGGAAACTAGGCCTTTTTTGTGGTTCAAAACCCGGATAACCCCTTAATGTGGAATAAATTAAATTTGCAAAATTGTCGTAGGGTCTTTTGAAAAAATTCGCGAAAATAGGCCTTTTTTGTGCCTCAAAACCCGGATAACCCCTTAATTACTTTGACATTTCTGTCTACATCTACCGATCGTTTTTATGACAGCTGTATGATATAGTCGTCCGATTTTCAAGAAATTAAAACCGAAATTCTAAGTAGAATTCTAGTAGGAATAGTCAGTGAGTAGATTGCGTTGAAACAAACAGACGGAGAGACGGATATGGCTAAATCGACTAGGTTGTTAATGCTGATCAAGAATATATACACTTTTATGGGTCGAAAATGACTCCTTAACTTCGGAGTAAAATTATATAAAAATGTGTCTTAATTTAGTTCATAAATAATGAGTTACTTGGCAAAAACGGACGTCGCATGGGTCAAGCCCCTGCCCCTTAAGATGTGGTCAACATATTAAGTAAAAACTGTTCAGAGTTCTGATGAAAAATTACATTTTAAGAAAAATATACAAATATTAAGGGGGTCTTCTCATTGGGCAACTTTTTTTTTTCGATTTTTTTTTTTTTTGCATTTATTCATAGCTTGGGATGGTCTGTATATGTCCCCAAAAGGATTTTTAGAAATTCGAAATACTTTAGAAGATACAGCCTTTTTGTGAAGCAAGGTCTTCGCAAAATGAGCTTTTTTCAAACTTCAAACGCGTTTATCTCGAAACCACGTTTTTCAAACTGGCGGCCATGATATCTCCAGTTCAACTGAACCGATTTTCATGAAACAAAGTGGAATCGACGCAGAATTGTCACCATTCTCGGGTGACGGAACAGATTTTTTTTTAAATTTTTCTTTATATTTTTTTTTACACTAAACTACAAAAAAAAAGCCCGAAATCGAAATTTTTTTTGAATGGCCGCCATTTTGTTTAAAAAAATTTAAAAAAAAATCTGTTCCGTCACCCGAAAATGACATCTATTCTGATTATAACCCCGTTCTTATTTTTCATTTCGGACGCTCTGGAGACCCTGAATCGTGGCCGCCAGGACGACACCTTTTTTTTCGACCACCAAGTTTGAAGTTTTATTACTCTTTGAACAACCCTCGTATCGAGGCAAGAACAACTTTTTTAGTTACTTTGAACATTTTTGAATACAATAAATAAAAAAAGTTTTCAATTATTCTTTGCGTTGTCAAGTAAGAATTTTTTTAAAAAGGGTCCAAAAAACGTCTTTTGAATGAGAAGACCCCCTTAAATGGCTATGTTAGCTGACTTTGAAATTGGTTAAACGTTTAAAATAATATTTTGAAACATTCGCTTTTTTCGCATACCTGTTATTAACACCTGTTCCGCGTTCTCTAACGAACACTGGCAGCAAGTGGCAAATAAATACAAATGACGCCACCAATGCAACACCAGACGTAAGATTCCAGCGGTTAATAATATACAAGTCCAGCACAAAATGGTGCGAATTCGAGAGCGCCGATAGCCAATAATTTGCATTTGATCCTCCTGGCCTGGATTTAAAATGCCACCCGTAGTACACGGTTCAGAAGCTAACAAAATATATATATATTAAATTAATTAATAATTGAATTAATTAAAAAGTAAGAATACGTAAGTTCAGATATTTAATATACATAAAACATTAAAAAAATTTGTTCAAAAATATCAATATCAAATATTTTAACTTTTTACTGTTATCTGAAAACTCTCATACCTTTCGAGGTGTTTCGGTTAAACATAGTACGCCTGCCTCTTAAAAAAAAATGACGGTTTTTTAAATATATTTCTAATTGATCTTTGATTTTAAAAAAATATACTCATAACATATCAAGACTATGCTTCACAGAACTGTTAGATTACATACACATGCACATATGTATGTATTTATTACACTGATTTTAACAACAAGGTTATGTTATAGGGAGTACTAAAAAAAGAGTATTCCAATCAAATGTCTTATTTTAGGGATAAGAAGTGCATAAATTAATAAAATACAGATAATATTTATTGAAATGAAAATATAAATTTAACATTGTTTATTGAGTAACCGCGTATTATATACAATGCCGACTAATTAAGGCGCCTTAAGAAGCCGATCAGCGATCACTTCTCGAGTAAAAGTGAGCTGACAGCAAACCGTTTAATCAAAAAGGCAACATCAATAGATAAAAACGAAATGATAAGGGTTTAGAGCAAGCGCGCACACTTGTTATTGTTTGCCCAGACACTCGTGTATTGCTTATAATTTTTACGCTCTTCTTGTGTACACATATGTATGTGCATGTATGTATGTATAAGAGAGCTTGCATGTACGAAACGTGTATGAAGCAGAAAGACTGCCCATTCATTTACATTTGTATGTATTTATTTCGTATTTTTAGGCACAAATTTCATTTCCACTTAGTAAAAATATAATAATAAGCATTAACCATTATATTTCAAAGGAATATTTAACATTTTGATACAAATGAAGCGCACTTCATACACATACTACGTCGACAAATAACGAAGAAACAATTATATTCATCAATTAATAAACTCAAACATACATACATACATATGTACATATAAATATATTAAATATATACATACATAAACGTACGAAAGCGCCGTTGATCAATAAGGGTTTCATTTTATGCATATGTACATATGTATGTACATACCTAAAACTGCTTTAGCACTAAAATTTTACCTACCATGTATGTATGCATGTATTTATTTGTATATACCCATGGTCACACTTTTTAATACGCAAGCGGATCGTATATTACAAAGGTCGAAAAACAATTATGGAGACTAAACGGGACTAATTTTGAAAGCTCTTGGTCTTTACATATGTACATACATATGTAAATTGTAAATCAGAAGTATCAAAACCCGATTTTTTTTAGCAGTTTTGAAATGAGTTTTTCATGGCCAATTTTAACGTATCAGTTATGAGAACACAGCGGTCAAAGTATCCAAAAATGATTGTTTTGACACTTTTCAAAGCCGATATTAGGTTTAAAGAGCCATTTGAGTGTATACTGATTCTATTGCATCATCGTCCATTTATGTACATACATATGTACATATGTACATATATGGGGAATTCTGATGTCGAACTAAACAACTAAAAAAAGGCGTGCTAAGACTTTATTTTAATTTTACAAAATTTGAAACATATAGATTTTGGTTAGCACTGTAATTGGTGCTAAGATCAATTTTGGGCCTTTGTTCGTTTCCAAATTAATTCCAAACCATACATATGTACATTTGCGGGTCATTCGTAAGTCATTCCGCACAAAAGTCACATTTACGAGAAAAATAAAACAGTTTAGGCACTGATTTCAGCGCAACGTGATAAAAGATTTTATTGCAATAAATTTTAATGTATTATGGGAACATTGATCTTAATAATGTATTTGGTTTAACTTAAAACAAGACAGGAAGCTAGCTTCGGCACGCCGAAGTTTGTATATCCTTGCAATTTGTAATTAGATCATTAAGAATCGATCCATTCTGGTCAAATTAATAGTAATAAAAGAAAATATATAAAAGTTGTATATTTATACATAGCATATAATAATTTGGTTTTGATATTTATAGTGTAATTTTGCTGAAAACACACACAAAACAAAATTTCATTACATTTTACCTATGTATACTTATTATGTTTACAGTTTGAGAATTACAGTTTTACTTTCCCAGCGCTACATTTTCTCTACATCTATCGATCGTTTCTATGGCAGCTACATATGCATATGATATAGTTGAACGATTTTCATAAAATGTATACAAAATTATTTAAATAATAACAGAAGCTACTTTGAGATATAGTAGATGAAAATACGTTTAAAAACAACGAAGGTTTAATTTTTTCTATTAATTTCCCGATCGTTCCAATGGCAGCTATATATATAATACAAAATGGCCATATCTTAAAAATGTGTCAAGTTATAATTTTTATACCCTTGCAGGGTATTATAATTTCAGTCAGAAGTTTGCAACGCAGTGAAGGAGACCTTTCCGACCCTATAAAGTATACATATTCTTGATCAGCATAAACAGCCGAGTCGATCTAGCCATGTCCGTCTGTCCGTCCGTCTGTCTCTTTCTACGCAAACTAGTCCCTCAGTTTTGAAGCTATCTGAATGAATCTTTTCATATTGTCTTCTATATACTAAGTTGGTGTTTTTTTACGGAATTAAACTGTCTCATATTTAAACCCTTGCAGGGTATTAACATTTTATTCTGAAGTATGTTTATATAATTCTTGATCAGCATCAACAGCCGAGTACATCTAGCCATGTCCGTCCGTCTGTTCGTTTCTATCTGAATGAAACTTTGCATATAGTCTTCTGAATACTCTCACTGCTATATATGTCGGAACGGGCCGGATCGGACGACTATATCATATAGCTGCCATACAAATGTTCGATAAATTTTTAGAAAAAAATTATAACTTGAATGTTTTTCAAAATTTTTGCATCATTTTTGGGATATGGCCATTTTATACTATTTCAGAATTTTGGTAAAAATTTTATGAAAATCGGACGACTATATCTTATAGGTGCCATAGGAACGATCAGGAAATTAATAGGAACAAAATTTTAACTTTGGTGCTTTTCAACGTATTTTCATCTACTCTGAGATATAGGCTTATTTTATTATTTTGGAATTTGGTATAAATTTCATAAAAATCGGACAACTATGTATATCATATAGCTGCCATAGGAGTGATCGGTAGATGTAGAGAAAATGTGAAGCTGTGACTGTCAAACTGTAAGTATAGGTAAAATGTAATGAAATTCTGTTTTGTGTGTGTTTTCAGCATTATAATTTATAATATAAATATCAAAACCAATCTGCAAGTGTATATAAACTTCGGTGTGCCGAAGTTAGCTTCCTTTCTTGTTTTTCTACAAATTTGTCGATAATTTCTATGGCAGGTATATGATAAAGTCGTCCAATATGGTCCGTTCCGACATACATATATAGCAGTGAGAGTATTCAGAAGACTATATGCAAAGTTTCATTCAGATAGAAACGAACAGACGGACGGACATGGCTAGATGTACTCGGCTGTTGATGCTGATCAAGAATTATATAAACATACTTCTGAATAAAATGTTAATACCCTGCAAGGGTTTAAATATGATACAGTTTAATTCCGTAAAAAAACACCAACTTTTCAAGAAAATTTGGCGAATCGGTTAAAGTTAGCTTAATGAATTAAATATCATATACTGTCTGTCTGTCCGTTTCTACCCAAACTAGTCACTCAGTTTTAAAGCTATCTGAATGAAACTCAATATCTTATGACCTTAACCCCATCATCAGTTATATATATATTGCTTTTCCCAAACATTCGTTTGTCCCATATTTTTGCTATGTTGTAGCCCTGAATATTATTGATGTATGTATAAGTATGTATTATGCCGCAAGGGAGCTGAAAGCACATAACAAGAGAAGCCAACGCCGCCAATCACTTATTGGCTTATTCCATACTACGGACCTCGCCTTAGCTGCATTTATTAATTCCACTTTGTACTGTAGAATGGGATTATCCGTTTCTACGCAAACTAGTTCCTCAATTTTAAAGTTATCTGAATGAAACTTTGCATATGGCCTTTTGACTACTATCGCAAAGTCAGAACGGACCGGATTGTATCATATGTGTGTGTAACTGTCATCAATCGAAAATTTTTAGAAAAACGATAGTTACGCTGGTTTTCATCTACTTTTTATAAAACATTTTGAAAATCAGGCGACTATATCATACGATCTGGAAATTAATTAAAAATATATATATATAAGTTCACTTTTATTTCACATATTTTCATCTACTCTGAAATATGAGCATTTTGTAATATTTTTAGAATTTTGGTTTGCCTTATGAAAATCGGACGGCTATATCGTATAGTTAGCATTGGAACGATCGGCATATGTAGAAAAAATTTACAGATGGTAATGTAAAACTAACCTTAACCCTGTAAAAATAATAATAAATAATTATGATATATATAACTGAAAACGGCAGTGGTATACAATCTTAGGCTTGCTTTCGTTTATAAACAAAAGTTTGTGACCAATGGTCGATGACAGCCTGCTGAGACGGCCGCAAATTAAAGGCCTGCTATACTAAATACCCATTTATATTTTGCATGAAGAAACGTGAACACTAAATTAATCTTTAGTTAGTTTTATATGCGTCCGAAAAACGACGCAGGGGAAGTTATGCTGCTAAGGCCTAACTAAGGCCTATGGCTAAGGCCATAGTCGATACAGACTCGGACCTTGAGAGCGTGAAGCACTCTCCCAAGAGAAGGAAAAAGCCTTCTCTACTCACTGAAACCAGGCACCAGCTCCCAGCGCAGGGACGGGCCAAAGCGGTCAAGCGAGGGAATAAAGGCCAAGGCGCTGTACAAGGCTGCCCTCCGCATCCAGGATCGGCTCCAGGAAAAAGACGCCCTATCCCCAGAGGAGAAGGTAAAGCTTACCTGGGCCGAGGAGAAGATCGCTGAGGGGAGGCTTCACTTCGCCAAATTCCACCACATGAGGTTGACGGGCGGTTTCGCCAACAAGGTGGAGGAGACGCTTGCTAGCAAAAGGCAACGCTCAGCCAAGAGCGCCTGTATGGACGCTCAGGGGAGCAAGCGGCAACGCGGGCCTAAAGAGGCAGGCCCTCCCCAAATGACGAAAAAGCCCAAAGGACCGCAAAATTCAGTGAGGTGACCAAACGCTGGATGAGTCCGACGAAGGAGAGAACGGTGACCTGATCGTATGAGTCTACCAGTCGTATGGAGGTGAGCCCAGTACCCATGACACTCAGGGTGCTGCAGCTCAACCTCAATAAGAGCAAGATCGCGTCGGCGAAACTCCTCATAGCCATGGAGCAAGGATCCGCCGACATAGCTTTGGTCCAGGAGCCATGGATCGCCTCAGGCAATTCCATCGCCGATCTGAAGTCCACAAATTACAATTTGCTCCATCCACCAACGGTAAGCAGGAATAGAACTGCCGTACTTATACGGAAGGGTCTACACGCTAACCTTATGTCTCATTACAGCTCTGATGACCTGACGGTGGTGATGCTAGAGTTCGAAAAAAAAGCTCCATTTGGTAGCTTCCTACTTCATGGCACACGACAGGACGCCCCACCAGAAGAACTCAGGAACCTGGTAGAAGCTAGCCCGAAGGACCAGCAACTACTCGTGGGTGCAGACGCCAACGCGCACCACTGCGTATAGGGAGCCCCGACATAAACGACAGACGTGAGTCACTCTTAGACTTTATACTCTCAACCAACCTAAGTATAGCAAATGTGGGGGAGGAACACAGCTTTGTAGGTCACACCTCCTCTAACGTGCTAGATCTTACTCTTGTAAGGGGACGAGGTACTTAGGTATCAGAATGGAGAGTCCTTAAAAGACCATCCTTCTCAGATTATAGGTACATACGGTTCCAATACGCATTCGAACACTCTCCTAAACAATCAGTCTTCAGGAACCCCCAGAATACTAACTGAGGAAAGTTCAAGGAGACTATCGCGACACGCCACGTGACGTCTCCGGGCATAGTAGAATCCGCGGAAGACATAGAAATATGCATCAAAAAAGATGCTTAACAGCACATGGGGCTTCTCACCCGCTCTAATGCATTGGGTCTACATATTGGAATACACAACCGTATTCCAAATGACTGAATATCAGTTAGGACAATGCTCAATACTTCAATATATACACCGACGGCTCCAAGATGGATGGAGGAGTTGGAGCGGGCATATACTAAACCCTGAAATGAGGCTGTCGTATAAGCTACCAAGCTACTGCAATATATTCAAGGCGGAAGTATTTGCCATCAGGAAAGAAGCAAAGCTTGCGCAGAGCAAGCATGAGGCGGTCAATTTGTTCGTAGACAGTCAAGCGGCGATAAGATCCATGCAATCATCAGCGGTCATTTCCAAAATGGACTGGCAAGCAGGGAGTCACTAGATAGCCTGAACACGACTAAGTCAGTGAAGATTTACTGGATTCTCAGCCAGCGGTAACTAGACCGCGGACGAACTTGCAAAGGAAGGCGTCGGACTGGCGAGTGAAAGAGCAGAAAACGTCCTGTCTCCCTAAGAACGCTCCAAAGCGAGCTGGAGAGACGGGCTGACGCAAGTGCAAAAAGCAGGTGGAGGAGTAATTCCGCAACCTGCAGAATATCAAAAATCATGTGCAAAGAGCACAACGAGAAACTCACTTACTACGTACTGCATCTTCCACGGAAGGACTGCAGAATGTTAGTGGGTATTCTAACAGGTAACTGCCTGTCTGCTGCACATGCAGTCAAACTGGGTATTACCGACAACGCCAGATGCCGGAAATGTGACGAATCCGAGGCAACCGAAACGTTGGAGCATCTCATTTTCAAATGCCCTAACGAGGGCAAGAATGAGATACCTAGGCTCTCCGGTTCTGGCATCGCTAGGAGATGCCTCCAGGAGGAAGCCGGGCGAACTCCTTGCCTTTGCGAAAAACACCTTTGTCTTCAAGGATCTCGAAACCCCCACAAATTATCACTAGGTCCACCCAGGAATTTCCCCGGATAGCCATATTGGGGCCCACGGCCCACGAGGGCCGTCCGGATTAACCTAACCTTTATATGCGTCCCTATCGGTAGTAGAGGCTTAACGATACATCGATGTTTTACCAAAATCTGAGAGTGAAAAGTGTAAGTACCAATAACGATATAGTTATATATTTAACATTATTTTATGTTACGAAAAAAATACTTAAAAGTAGCGAATATTGATCGGATAACCTCACTGTGGTGGTGTTGATAGGGACGGAACGTATGTTTAGCAAGGCAGGGCAACTGATCTCGGACCGAAGGTGCTCTCTGAAGCCTGCAGCAGTGGATAAATTACTATTTATCAACCGCAACATTAATCTCATTAACTAAGTTCATGGCGCATCTTCAGAAGGTTGCTCTGCGCTTGAACTCTTCTTTATATGTATGCGTGTTCATGCATTCACGTACACGGGTGCATGTATGCGATCGTTTCATTTCGGCACAGCAAGACTATTTGGTCTTTTCCTACTTTTCGCTATAGGTGCCCTAACAATATGGGCATATTCACTATTGGGTTAATGATAAAAGTAAGAATGTTATGTTATAATATATTTCTTACTCTTGCACCAATAAATCATTAAAAAAAAAATAATAATATTAATAATTATAATAATATAATATAATTTTTCAGCATACATTTCGTATTATATATTCATACATTTCATATTAATAATAATATATTTCTTAATGTTTCAGCATACATTTCATATTTGTTTACAAATTCAAATCACTGGCTGCAGTGAAATGATTTGCATTTATGTATGCATTCGAATGAATAAAAATCCATCAACTGAGATAGGAACAGGGCATATTGCAGTCGGTGTCACCTAAAACACCGACTGCTCTTATGGGGTTGAGAAATCAAATCATCTGTTATTGTTGTTCTGCAAGCGGATGGTGCCGGCATACCCTACCTACGATTGGGTATGCAGGCACCATCACCAGTGCTGCCACTGATTTGAATTTGTAAATAAATATGAAATGTATGCTGAAACATTAAGAAATATATTATGCGCAGAGCAATCTTCTGAAGATGCGCCACTCTGCGACTGAACTCTCGCAACCAGTGTGCGAGCATAAGAATGACAGAGCGAAAAACCGGAGCGCACACGAAGCTACGGGGCCTGTCGCTTCGGGCGCACACAAAGTCTCGGGGGCCCGTCGCGAACAGCTCTGGGGCCTGTCGCTAAGAAATTTTTAGTTCCATTTTCGTTGTATGGTTAGTGCATATGTGTAAGTATATAAGTAGAGTGTTGAATCAGTACATACCATCGACAAGACGATGTGAATCCTTAAGATATTCATATTCTTCCATATTAGGTTCACTTTTGGCATCATGATGATGTTCCTCGTGATGAAATGATAGTATCGGCTTTGTTTTTGGTGTATTGTTACCACAGCAATTAAGTAAAGTATTATTATTTTCCAAATTATTCTGTTGTTCCACTTCCCGCGATTGAGCTGATGAATGCCACCAATTAAGCTTTAATAATTTGTTTTTTGTAGCTATTCCAGAGAGCTCAGGGCTATTTTGTTCAGTGTCAAAATCCTCCAAGTCTCGAAATTGAAGATTTTTTGTTACTACTTTCGGCGGTATTGAATTCATCTGCAATGCCTCAGTACGTGTAGAGCCAATGGCAATGCCACATGAGTCGTCATTAGTAAACATATTTCTAATAATTTAATTATACAAAACTAAAAGAAGGGTTTAGTTTTGCTAACAGAGCTTTCTACAGGCTAGCATTGCTACGTGTCCATACTGATTATTTTACACTAAAGACTGAGAAAATGTTGGTGACCGAGCTGAAATGTCAGCTGAACACTTGATCTTCTAACAATGGTATTATTAAGCAGTTTAGACGATCGGTGGTGAATTCCATAAATTTCATTTTAGCACTGCCTTGCCTGTTTAATTTATTGTAGAGTAAGGAATACTTCCACTTGCTAATATCCAAAATTTTTAAACGCGATTTCTTGGGCTGCTTTCGTTGTCTTCTTCTACAAGGATCAGTGGAGATCTGATGCTGGATCTGTGTTGGATTGTTTTCTGCTGCTAAAGTGCTGTCACTACACCAGCGACTTTTTAATCATCCAAAACATCATCCAAAGACTCCTCCTCCTCCGCTGCCCACGCGCTTTTCAAAGTAAAACTGCTTGATGTACTCCTTTTGTAGAATCACCAAGCTCGGACTCGCCCCGTTTGACGGGTGGAGGATGCCGTCGTTACCGCAAGTCAAGTAGTTGACAGATAGTGTAAATACACTATAATAGCACCACTTAAACAGCTTGCTTTTTTCCAGTTGCTGGGCTAAATTCATTACGATTTTCGATATTCAGTGGAATATAAACGTGTTTCGTTATATTTTCAATTATGTATATAACTTTACTCCGCTGTTTCTTCTTCAGATTTTATAAATTATAAATGGAATGCCGCTTTGTGTAGAACAGTTTATACACAGAGTTGATTTGGAGAGTTTTTGTATCGTGCAATAATACATTTATTGTACAATTAGCTTCTCTACAAGCAGAGCTACATGTCATATTAAAAACGGAGACCATGTAAATGGCATGCGATCCAATGATTATTTTATTTCTTTAACTCTGAAACGAAAAGAAAAACGAATTTGCTTAGCTTTTCCTAATGACTTAAATGTAATCACATGTTACCGTGACGTAAGTTGGATAATTTAAGAATGACAAATCACAGTATATCTATACTTATGTACACACATATATGTACGTTAATTCAATCTCGTTACATACATATGCATGTATGTCAATACACATCTGTACACATATATAACTTTTGATGTATGTTAAACTTTTTTTTTACATTTAGAAACATTAAACTAGGCAACAAATACTAAGTAAGAAGTCAGAGACACATTTGGCTTTAAGGACAAAACACATTAAGGAATGTGCTGCTTTTAACTGACAATATAAACGTATACAGTAGAGGTGGAGAACTGTGTTTAGATAAAAATATGTCATTAGGTAATCGATATCGAAAACATCAGCTCCTTGAGTGTTTTGAAGTGCGGTTCATATCGTTCTTACAATACACTGTCTACACTAAAACCAAAAATTTTTGTATAAGCCACCGTAGTTAAGTAAATCAGTAAAATGATTTTTTTCTAAAAGATTCTATAAATAAAGTGATTTAAATAGAAAACGGAAATAAATTATATTCTGGGTTTTCCCTTGCCGGCTGAAAATATCGACGATGTATCGCGATAGTATTCCGGCGATATGATGTCAAAATGGTCTAACAGTATTGCTTCCACTAAACTCAAAATAAGAAATTAATCTAAGAAAATATAAAAATATATATTATAATAATTTTTTTTAAATTAAATTTTTAAAATATTTTTTTAATTATTTCTGGTGGCACTCGCCACGAGGAGACAGAGAGGGATCGATTATGGGGCAGAATCTTCAAGCTTGGTCCTAGGGATCACAGACGGCATTCACCGAAAGAGTCGCCACCTTGGATCTTTTATTTATTTTCAGTGTAATATTTGTCTGGTCGTGCCTTGAGGTTATGTTTTAGAAAATATTCAGGCTATTTTTCTTGTGTTACAGTTAGCGGATTATGAGGTTATCTTTTGAGTTTAGGTTAGCTTGCCTACTCTGAGGTGAGAACGCATCGAGGCCCGTCGAAATTTATTGTGCACGTGGCCCTTTGGCCGGGTTCGACTCGACTGCGCTTACGTCACTCGATGGCTTGTCGCGTGGCCACTCCGAGGAGTGGTAAACGTCCTCTCCACTTGCTCATAATCTCCTTCCTTCTTGGAAACTAACACTTCAACTTGGCCTCGCGAAATTTCTCGCGGTTCAGTTTTGACTTCTGGAAGCTTCTGGTATCGCTTCCTCTCGCTCTTTCATTTGGGCGCGTTTAAATAAGTCGGTACCGCTTGGTTAGCAATAACAAATATGTTTTATTCTGTACAATACATAAGCATAAGTACACTTCAAAAACCTTAAGTTACATACCGCAGTTTATCTGTGATAGCGCAAAACGGAGGAGTTTGATCCGCCAAAACTTGGCTTAACTTTGCCCAAATTAGTGTGACCGAATACAACAACTTCTTTGATAATTCCAAAGCCCTTTACACAAATAAAACTCTGAGGGCGCCTTATTCTAATATTACTAAATATCGATAGCCTCAATACGTTCCGCGACTAGAGGTGGAGAAACATCGATGTTTTAAATAAAAAAAATTAGCAATTATATTATATTATGAACTTTATTTTAATTTGTAATATTAAAAAAATAAAAGTCAAATTTTCAACAAAAATTCAATTTTTTTAATCACTTGTTAAATAAAAAAAAAACAAAAAACTAATTAAAATAAAACTTCATGATATTCATGTTCCACTTTTTTGGTATATAGTTTCTTTTTCTTAGTTTGTAAATAAAAACTAAAAACAAAAACAAATTTAATATCAATGTTTCAATATATACATGGTCCAAAGAAAATAATAGTTTTTTAGGATATTGCTATCCCGAACTCTAGTATATATATTTACATATTTTTCCATGTTTGTTTTTGTTTAAGGAAGAGGAGCCGCGTGCGAAGCTCACTTATAAGTTGTGAAGCTTTACTGAAAACTCTTTCAGATTCGTGCGAAGATGCGAGAACGCAGAAGTATTTTTTAGCAAACGTTTTAAAGGAGTCGCCATCTGTAGTAATCTAAAATATAATTAATACAATAAATAAATGAAAAAACATCGATGTTGCCCCGCTAAGCATCGATGTTTCCGATGTTTCGAAAACATCGATGTCCTCGATGTTCGCATCGATGTTTCTCCACCTCTATCCGCGACCCACAGTTTTAAATTTTGTCTACATTTACCGATATTTCCCATGGTAGCTTTTTGATAAGGTCGTTCGATCTTTATAAAATTATGTTGTGTCCGCCGTTTCGATGTTAGCAGGATTATCGATCTGTTAAGAACGGGCAACACAGGTTGCAGGGCTGCCAACTTGGCCGGTCTCGAAAAGGGTTATTCACCCGATAAAGAGGAATAGCCAAAACCTAACGGAGTTCGAATGGCGTGATTTTCGAATTCACTGCCTCCGTTAGGTTTTAAGCGGAATAAGAAAACGACCGAAACTGCGAGCGCGAGACGGCGGGGTGACGACGGCTCGGCGTTATGGTGAAATAAATGTTTAAATAGATGAAAATCGGCCGCCGAAGTAATATGTTTTTTTTTTAAGAAAATGAAAGAAGTGAACATAATAAACAAAGGAAAATGGAAAGCATCCGGATGAAGGGACCTGTGAAGCCGGATCGGCGAACCCTCGAGGTGAGTGGTCAGGGACCAGGCAGGAAGTTAAGGAAAAAAAATATATATATTGTTGTTTTTAAATATAGAAGCCGACCAGGACCAGGTCCCAATAAAGGAACGCCAGGCCAAAACTCGGGCCTGGCGAAATTTTTTACAAAGTATTTTGATGACCACATAATTTTGGAGCGAGGTGTATAAATTCGGTGGCGTAAATTTTTTATATTGTTTGGCCACAAAATCGGTGATTTTTCAAACTAAGTCTGTTGGACTTAACCACCAGCCATCGAAAGCCAGTTTGCCCAAAAGTTTGCCCCGCGACTGTGGTTCATCATCTCGCCGGTACAGTGCCACCTACCTAAGGACCGATACGCCTACCAAGGGGCGGCACCGGGAGCCACCGAAGGCTTCAGCCATTTTTTTTAGTCTGTTTAGAATTAGTCGTCGTTTTGTTTTTTTATTTTGTATTATTTATTGTTTTTTTTTTGTTTATATTTATTTATTTTTTTTTTTAGTGTTTCCATTACTTATTTATTTATTACTACGGTCTTATTTATTTATTTATTTATTTATCAATTATTTATTTATTTATCTATTAATATTTATTCTCCAACATTTATTTATATTTTTTATTCAATGTGTTAAATTTTGGGATGAGTTTGGCCTAGCTATTGTTTTTGTTATATTTGGTTTGTGTATCCACTTCCCCTCGGATATTCTTTCCCCCCAGTTTTGAGCGCTCAGACAGGTAGGCAAAGGATTCTGATTTTTTTTTTTTTTTGGGAACTTAAGATCCGATCACTCTTACGTGAATGAAAACGATACAAAAGGAAAGGTTAGTCGAACTCTAAATATCAATACACATGTAATTTCCGTTTATTTAACCATTGTAATTAAAGTCAGGGAGAAATGAATAAGGAGTAGTTTTCTTAATGGGAAGGGAGAAGGGAGCGATGGCGTAAATGGTATGAGTATGAAGATAATAGGGGCAGCTGCATACCTAATTTCTGCCAGCAGCCTGCAAAGGATGGGAGGGTAAAGCAGAGGAGCTCCAAAAGACATCCAGGAGTCTCCCAGATAACTGACCGTTTAAATATGTATGTTTCGTTAAGTAATGTTACGTTCAGTTCGAAGTTGTGCAAGTGTTAGTGTTGTGCAACGTCTCGTCTTAGTCTAGGGCGTGATGTTTAAGAAAATAAATTATATCTGTTACGTGTGTCAGTGGGCCGGCCCAAGAACCAATCTAAAATAAAAGAAAATGGGAATGTATCATATATTTTGAAAAACAGCGGAGTATAAATATTTTTCAACTATTTTCCCGATCATTCCCGTGTTAACTATATGATTTGATTATCACAAAAATTGAAATTGAAATAATACAAAAAGGAAATTAAAATATGGTAAAAACCGCCAAACTTATAATTATATTAAATAATTGCCGATCCTTCCTATGTCAGATATATTATTTAATCGTCCGATCAGGCCCGTTCCGACCTATGTACTAGTAATAATAGTCAGAGGACTGCAAAGTTTCATTCAGATAACTCTAAAACTGAGAGACTAGATTGCGGTGATACGGACAGACGGACATGGCAAGATCTACTGGGCTTTTGATGCGGATCATGAATATACAAATTATTTAAATCCTTCGGCTGTCGGGGTAATTATCGCAGCAGTCGCTGAATGTTGTAGGCCGGTTGGAAGTTATCCTTCAGAGCAAGGATCGCTGGATGGATGAATTGGCTGGAAGACCGTGTGACGCGCATACGTGACACGCGTAAATATATGTTGTTGCAGCTGGAGGCCATTGCCCAAGAAGGGCGTCTTGGTGAGGTGGAGGCTCGTAGCTACACAGACCAACGCCTGCATTGCTGCAGACTTGCGAGTCCACAGAGTTCCCTATGATGAAGGTAAAAATTTAAAAACACTGATCCTTTCCCTATGGTTCCGCCTGAAACTCACACCACCGCCTAGGATCCGCGATATTTTCCGGATAAAACTTAGTAGCCCTAGGTTGCGTACAGTAAAGAGTTTAATCAGCTAAACCTTCAACTTTTGGGTGTTAATTCTCAGGCAGCCCTCTACTTAAATAAGCTTGTGCAGAGCATAAACCGTCCACATGTGGCGGTCAATTTGTTCGTAGACAGTCAAGCGGCGATAAGATCCATGCAATCATCAGCGGTCATTTCCAAAAATGTACTGCCAAGCAGGGATACACTAGATAGCCTGAGTACGACTAAGTCAGTGAGGATCTACTGGTTTCCCAGCCACCTGAGCATAGATGGTAACGAGACCGCGGACGAACTTTCAATGGAAGACTGGCGAGTGAAAGAGCAGCAAGGATGAGATACCTAGGCTCTCCGTTTTGGCATCGCTAGAAGATGCCTCCAGGAGGAAGCCGGGCGTACTCCATGCCTTTGCGAAAAACACCTTGATCTTCAAGGATCTCGAAACCCGCATAAATAATGTCTAGGTCCATCTAGAAAATTCCCCGGACACCTAAGGGCCATATTGGGCCGTCCGTTTAAACCTAACCTAACCATTATTTTCCGCCACCTTGTGTTTGGAGAACCGAGGTATTAGTTTAACCCCCCTGTTCTCTTTCCTAAACATCGTGTCTCCTACCTATACCGGATTTGGTCCCTGCCTATCGGCATTCCCCGACTCTATTCTCTTGTTTTGCTGTTCTGCCTTTTC